CCTTCTCCTACTGTACATTGACTTTATTGTTGTGTGTCATGAATCACTGTGGCGGTCATGCTGTAGTGACATGTAATTCATGCAGCCTTTATTCGATTAGACCACTACTTATTTCAGCCTCGGTTTTTCTCTCCCGTTTACATGTGCCCCAGTACACACACAGTGGAGTAGTAGGCTATATATGCCCAGAGTGATGCATAGTAATGCATGGAACGATACAAGTCACATGCATTTTTGGGGGAGAAGTGTACTGGAAATAAGGCGTCAGGTAGCCTAGTGGTTAAGAGCGTTGGGCCAGTAACCAAAAGGTCGCTGGTTCGAATCCCCAAGCCGACTGGGTGAAAAATCTGTCCATATGCCCTTGAGCAAGGCACTTACCCCTAATTGCTCCTGTAAGTCGCTCTGGAAAAAGAGCGTCAGCTAAATGAAAAAAACATTAATTAAATTAAAATTGTAGAAAAGTATATCACCCTAACAGTACCAGTGCTGATGTGTGGCTATAGGAATTGGACAATTATTTTGTGTGTCTTAGTTTTCACACAATCAGTGTGTGTACTTTTTACTTTAAACTGAGGTCCCTAAGAAATGGGGGTCATGTTTTTTCCTTCTGAATGTGTTATCTATCTCAATACTGCTAATAAGAAGCTGTAGCCTCCTGTAGCTCAGTTGGTAGAGCATGGCGCTTGCAACGCCAGGGTTGTGGGTTCGATTCCCACAGGGGGCCAGTATGAAAAATGTATGCACTCACTAACTGTAAGTCGCTCTGGATAAGAGCGTCTGCTAAATGACTAAAATGTAAATGTATGCCATGCATTATCAGCCAATAGTTCTCTCATATTTAATGATGTAGGCTATCACCAACATTTCACTCTGCTGTTATTGTGGCCACTAACTGTCTTTTTGCTGTGTTAAACCACATGGTAATGGAGCCACGTGTAATAGCTGTTATCTAGCTATCAATTTTTAGGCCAGTTGTTTTCATAGATTTACATAGTCCTGAATTTCAACATTGCTTTTGAAACCAATCGGTAGGCTGCTAGGATTGTTTATTTTATTTTACCAGGCAGATCAATTAAGAACAAATACAATTTTATTTGGTACATGTTTGTAAACAACAGGTGTGGACTAACAGTGAAATGCTTACTTATGGGCCCTTTCCAACAATGCAGAGACAATTTTTTAAATAGAAATAATAGAAAAGTAAAACACATAATAATACAATTAATAATAGATACACAATGAGTAACGATAACTTGGCTATATACAAGGGGTACCAGTACCGAGTTGATGTGCATGGGTACGAGGTAATTTAGGTAGATACAGTATGTACATATCACCAGGAATAAAGTGACAGATAGTAAACAGTAGCAGCAGCGTATGTGATGAGGCAAAAAGGGTCAGTGCAGATAGTCCGGATAGCTATTTGGTTAACTATTTAACAAACTATTTAGCAGTCTTATGGCTTGGGGGTAGAAGCTGTTCAGGGTCCTGTTGGTTCCAAACTTGGTGCATCGGTACCGCTTTCTGTGTGGTAGCAGTCTATCACTTGGGTGGCTGGAGTCTTTGACAATTTTTAGGGCCTTCCTCTGACACCGCCTGGTATAGAGATCCTGGATGGCAGGGAGATCAGCCCCAGTGATGTACTGGGCCGTACACACTACCCTCTGTAGCACCTTGCGGTCAGATGCCAAGCAGTTGCCATACCAAGCGGTGATGCAGCCAGTCAAGATGCTTTCAATGGTGCAGCTGTATAACTTTTCGAGGATCTGAGGGCCCATGCCAAATCTTTTCAGCGTCCTGAGGGGGAAGGGGCATTGTAGTGCCCTCTCCATGACTGAGTTGGTGTGTTTGGACCATGATAGATCCGTTTGGACCACTGAGGAGATCAGGTCTATCACCATCGTGTCGTTGGCAAATGTAATGATGGTTTTGGAGTCGTGTGCGGCCACACAGTCATGGGTGAACAGGGAGTACAGGAGGTGACTAAGCACGCACCCCTGAGGGGCCCCAGTGTTGAGGTTCAGCGTGGCGGATGTGTTGTTGCCTATCACCTGAGGGCGTCCCGTCAGGATGGAGGTGTTCAGTCCCAGGGTCCTTAGCTTAGTGATGAGCTTAGAGGGCACTGGTGTTGAACACAGAGCTAAGTCAATGAACAACATGCTCACATAGGTGTTCCTTTTGTCCAAGTGGGAAAGGGCAATAAATATTGCATGATCTGTTTGGGCGGTATGCGAATTGGAGTGGGTCCAGGGTGTCTGGGATGATGGTGTTGATGTGAGCCATGACCAGCCTTTCAAAGCATTTCATGGCTATAGATGTGAGTGGTACGGGGCAATAGTAATAATTTAGACGGGTTACGTTGGCGTTCTTGGGCACAGGGACTATGGTGGTCTGCTTGAAACATGTAGGTATTACAAATTCTTATTTACAATGCTGGCCTGGCAATGTGAAAGAGTATGTTTGCTTCTTGGTGAGCTTGAAGTTAATGTAGTTATAAACCTTTGTTATACCTGTCCTCATTTGAACTAATGTATAGATTGTCTGCTGTCAAAGTCTGAGAACATTTTACTCAGGAGGTGAGAAACACAGGAAACACCTGTGTTCAAAGTAGAGCTCAAAGTCACGTACACACACAACTATCACCACAATATTTGTAGTGTTGGCCTTTTCCATCACATTCAGTCAGCAACCCACCTTTGTCAGTAACCGAGGCACCACACACAGACACCTGAGTCTGGACATAACTGCCACTTGCACGGCAGTCCACAGGGTATGTTTGTGACATCTTAAACAAAAGGAAACATCAGCTGTTGTGAAGCTGACCTTAGTATTCTGTTCCAGGTTCTTTGCCCTGACCTCGCTGCGCCTGCTCTTCCTGCTGTCTTCAGGCCTGGTTGTATTCATCTGCGTTGACAGCTGGAGGAACAAGATCTGGCCTGAGATCAGAGGTGAGGAGGGTATAGTACATTATTTCTGGAACGTCTGCCTTATTCTGCACCCAATGCCTCATGCCCCACTGTGTCTTGGTCTGTCCCCGCTGAGTACCTCTGCTCTACTGTGTTAATTATACCTGACTTGGTTCTTAGATCCTGTCCCTTATTCCCCAGTGTCATACTACCCTTGGTGTGAATACCCTACTGCTTTACATTTGAGGGTTGAGACACATCTGTAAGCGTTTCACAGCCTGGCCCTGGTCTGTACTATTCATTAGACCCTGTAAGACCCTGTATAATTAATCATATCCTTTGTTATGCCTGTCCTCATTTAAACTCATGTGGTATAGAGTGTCTAAGTGTAGTGATAATGTGGGTGTTAAATGCATTTTCTGTTCTCTTCCCACAGTTAAAAAAGCCTGATGAGTCTGAAAATGAAAGGTAGGCCTATGTCTTAAAAATACATCATTTGTATCCTATCGTCACATTCTGGTTGGGCAGTGGTCACAGAGAGATGATGTCACTGATGTTGTTGTAATCCTATCTTGCAGCTGGGGCCTGGTGCAGCCAGGGGTGCTCAGTGTTCCAGAGCTGTGTCACCACATTGCTGAGGTCTGGGTCTCTGGGCTGGCCTTTACATCCAGCCTTGTGCAGTTCAAACGCCACAACCCTGGCAAGGTGAGGCCATGGCACTCTCCTTGTACTAGTATGAAGGGTCTCCTATATAATCCCTAAACCCTAATACAATATCTTGTCTACTCTCAGCCTACTGTGAACATACAGCTAATCATTAACTTGACCAGTTGAACTAAAATAATTGCTTGCAGTTGAACCTGCTGAAGGTGACTACCTTTGTCTGTGTTTGTTGTCTCTAGTTCTGCCTCCTGACCTGTGCCCTCTTGACCTGTCTGGCCATGGTTGGACGGTACATTCCTGGACTGGTGCTCTCTTACTCTGCAGGTGAGTACAGTGAGAAACAACCCACCCACCACCAATCCCACCCTCCTGTTTCCCAAGCTGGCTTCCCCTGTTAAAAATGCATGGCTGGTGAAACCAGATCTGTGGTCCCCTGGCACCAGGGTTCTGTCTGTGAGGTGATTAACGCCTGGCTGGGCTGAGGCAGGGAGGGAATTGGGGAGGCAGGGATAGAGGGACTCAGGGGGAGGCAGGGAGAGAGAGGGAGGGAGAGCGATACAGGAAGGAGGTCAGGCTCAGACATGCTAATCCCCTCACCTTTAACCAATGTAGAGCGACCAATCTACCGGAGAGCCAGGAAGAGGGAGGCCCTGCCAGGGCCCTCTGACGTACCTAACAATCTTGTGGCTGCTAGTGCTCCCCCTCTTTGTTTTGTTCTCTGTTTAATGGCGAGATTAGTTGGGCTCAAGCCCATGGGTGTGTGGGCTGAGGAGAGTAGCTGGGGGGTTTAGGTGAGCCAGAGCCTAATAGTACAGATTAATGCATTTTGTTTCTGCAGCCATGGTTATTTTCTCTGTCTTTTGTTTATGCCCAGTGATGTTTCCACTAACATTAAGCCATTCTCTCTTGTCCCAGTGCTGGCTGTTCTGCTGTGCCCCCTGGCAGCGTACCACCGAGTGTGGCAGCGTGTGTGCGTGAAGCTGGAGCCGGCCCTGCAGTGGCTGGACTTCAGCGTTCGCGGGTACATGATGTCAAAGCCCATCGACAACCAGTGTGAGTACAGAGTGGTTGCCTGTTTGTTTGTGTTTGTCTGATAGTTGTATTGGCATAGCTACAGTTTGCAAACCTAAACCAGTGTATCTCCTTCTAACTTGACTGGATCAACGGAGTAGCTCAGTCATTGTAACCTGTGGTCTGTGTTTGCTCTGTAGTCCTCCGCAAGCCAATTCGGGGTGCAGCCTCCGGTGATGCCAGTGACAGTGAGGAGGAGCTTGCTGCATTCTGCCCGACGGTAATTCACCAGATGTATTTCACAGGCCGTCCAAAAGCATAGTCAGGTTGTCATCTATCTGACTGTCATGGTTATTTAAATGGGCCTACTTGTTGGTTATTACTCAGTTAGATGGCCAGGAGTGGCGCATGTAGCTCAAGCCTGCAGCTGGTCTCAGATTGAAAAATAACCTGACCCCTTTAAAGATAGAAATAGCAGGCCCATCCCAGTCATATCAGGTCATGGGCTCCCGAGTGGCGCAGCGATCTAAGGCACTGTATCACAATCCGGCTGTGATTGGGAGTCCCATAGGGCGGCACACAATTGGCCCAGCGTCGTCCGTGTTTTGCCAGGGTAGGCCGTCAATAAGAATGTGTTCTTAACTGACTTGCCTAGTTAAATAAAGGTGAAGTAAAAAAATATATACAAATAAAAACATGTCATCCTTGACTATGTATAAATTCAAGAGGAAACATACTATATTATAAATTACTAACAAGGTTCAATGTCTTTGCTCTCTTTCAGTTTGACGATGCTATAGTGGCCAAAGAACTTGCGATGACAGACTCTGAGCACTCTGACGCTGAGGTCTCATACACAGACAATGGGACCTTTAATCTGTCCCGTGGCCAGACTCCTCTCACAGAGGGCTCAGAAGGTACAGTCCGCACCTCCAGGCACACATGCTCTGGAGTCACGAGAATTAGAGGCAGATGTAATGTAGCTAATAGGGATGTGCATCTTTCCCTTTCAAGACGATTCGATATGTATCTAGATACATGGGCTCCGATACGATACAGGAACGATACGTTTTAGTTTGACACTTTGTTTTTGATTTAGAGATGCAAACACATTCATTTTCCATTCTAAATTCAAATCTGCTGCTGATGGAGATCATGAGCTGGGCCTCTCTGGGCTGGATCTATCTGAGCTGATGTGTGTGTGTGTGTAAATGATGTATACTATGTAGGCACCTGATCTAAACCATAAGGGAGACTAGGCATCTACCACCCCACTATCAGATTAGGGGGGGGCAATATAGCCTATTTTTTATCCCCCAACTTTGATTCTGAAATCATAATCACCCAATAATTAACTTGTAATTTTTGCAGATTAAGTGTTTGAGCTAGTAATGTGTCAATATGTATTGTTTACAAATTGGGTATGACATAGCCAATGAACACAACTTTGGATTTCACCCCATCTCAAAATCGAATGGTTTTGACCGTATGGAAGTTTAGTGAGCTTTATTCCGGTGAAACACAATTTTCGACAGTGCATAGATAACAATAACCTAGCAAATTACATAGGCTTTATTAGTTGAGTGACAACCTAATATCGCTCAAGCCATTTGAGCATTTGAATGCTGAAGGTGCTGCGTAGATGTGCAAGATCAGGAACAGAACGCCTACCTTGCGTTGGTCAGCATGCGAAGCTGGGCACAGTGCGTGAAGCTGGGCACAGTGCGTGAAGCTGGGCACAGTGCGCGGTTTGACTAGGCTACTAATATTCTCTAGGGTTGTTCGGCATGCAAAATGACTTGTAGATCAATGACTGTCAACACAGTTACATGCTTAGTTCGACACTGAAGGAGAGGACACATCAGTTGTCTCAAAAGATCAGAGGTATTTTCAGAAGGTAGAAAAAGTATTTTTTGTACTTTCTACTACTTTTTCTCCCCAATTTCGTGATATCCAATTGGTAGTTACAGTCTTGTCCCATCGCTGCAACTCCCGTACGGACTCGGGAGAGGCGAAGGTCGAGAGCCATGCGTCCTCCGAAACACGACCCTGCCAAGCCACACTGCTTCTTGACACACTGCTCGCTTAACCCGAAAGCCAGCCGCACCAATGTGTCGGAGGAAACACCGTACAACTGGCAACCGTATCAGCGTGCATGCACCCGGCCCGCCACAGGAGTCGCTAGACCGCGATGGGACAAGAACATCCCTGCCGGCCAAACCCTCCCCTACCCTGGACGACGCTGGGCCAATTGTGCGTCGCCTCAGTGGTCTCCCGGTCGCGGCCAGCTGCAACACAGCACGGGATCAAACCCGGATCTGTAGTGACGCCTCAAGTGCCTTAGACCGCTGCACCACTCGGGAGGCCCAGAGAGAAAGTAATATGAGCAACGACAAAAAATGTGAATCAGCGACTCGTAACGTTTGAATACATTTTCTGACCGATGCATGCTACATTTGGATCGGTTTTGGGTCCACGGACCGATGCAGTTGTATGTTAAACATTTGAATCAGGGACCGATGCGTATCTGTGAATCGTTACATCCCCAGTAGCTAACATTAGAGCCTACATGATAGGATGACATGTCATAAGGCACTGTACTGTTTTCTGTATTGTGGCATGACTGCCTACTCTGGTAAGACATGTTGTGCAGGGTGATGGTCTGTGTTTTTAAATTACAAATGACATTCCAACATCTTGAACCCCTTCCTCTCTGTTCATCCTCAGATTTTGATAGACACAGTGACAATGAGGAGTCGTTTGCCCAAGACCTCAATGACTTCCCGTCCATCAACCCAGACGCCACCCTGATGGACGACGACGATGACTCGTGCATCGGGCTGCCCAGCCTGGGACCTCGTTCTGGGCGGACTGGCCCCCGATCCACAGCCGAGCTGCTGGATGTGGAATCCCACCTGGACTCTGACCAGGACGACCTGGACGAGGAGCTCTCCTTTGGCGGCCTCCCCCCCGCTTCCGACTTCCTCGGAGGTGACCTGGCTGGAATCATCGCCAGCAACATGATTCAGGCGGCACTGGCTGGGGCCATGCAGCCCCGTCCCCCTGCCACCCGCAGGGAGAGGCCCATCCGAGCAGGGGCCAACAGGGGCTACCGCAAGCAGTCTAGCTCGGAGCTGGACACAGACTTGGACGGAGAGGACTTTGAGATGCTGGATCAGTCGGAGCTGAACCAGATGGATTCCTTTGGGGGTGCAGGAGGACAGGGAGGAGGGCAGGGTGGGGGACAGGGGTCCAGCTTCCTCTCCAACCTGCTGGGGAAACCACAGTGAGGCACCTCTACCTGTGTATAACAATCAAACTAAGTCTTTGTGTGTGATTGGAATGTTCATGGATTGTTTTGAGTGCGTGTGTGAGTCATTTAATTGTAGGATCCAGCAGCCAGGCTCCCGATTGACCTCAGTTGATACCACTGTGAAGTACTTCTGATTTCTTTATTTTTCTATCTCACTTTTCAATTTCTTCCTCTAGTCTGTAGCTTGTATGTGTAAGCCACCATCATCCAGAAAGTCTTATTTTGTAGGCTGAGCAATAGGAAACGCAATGTAAAAAACGTAACCTTCCTGAAACAGCATTACAGAACCACTTCCCTGTCCTGTCATCCAGTATGCCCAAGTTAGTAATACGTTATTTAAAAGTCAACCACTAGGTAGTATACACACTTTCTAAAAGGCTAGACACACAGGGCTGTTTAATATGGGACCAAGTATGACATTCCTATTGATTAGTGAAGTTTTACAACTGCAATGACCTTGTTTTAGAATAGTTTTAGCAATATCTGACTGGGACTATCGTTAACTAAAAGCCACTGCTTTCATTTTAAGACACTCATTCTCTATTAGAAACTAAGTCAATAATGGTGATATTTTTAGGGATCATTCTTGATTGAGACATGAATTTGTTTTGAGTCTGAAATCATTGTTTTAAAGAAAGGGGATAGGCATTTTAGTTAAATGTGTTTTACTGTCTCTTCCCCCACCCGAATGTTTCTTCCCACACTATTTGTCCTGTTTTGTTTGCTGTACTTATGGTAGATCTGTGAATGTAGGGTTGCCTCCTGTGTTCTGCATGTGTCTTGAATGAGCCGTCATGGGCTGTTTAGATCTTTTTGTCTTTGTCATCACAGTAAGTTATTTTATCAAGATAACCTGCTCCTTGTATCCCTTCTCCCGTGGCATTCCCAATCCCTATCACCACCTTCACTCATTTTTGCTGATCCTTCTCAGAGGAGAATCTGTAGAATAGACATGCATATATAAGTAGAACAGAAGTACAGAATATAAACCTTTAGTTGAACCTCATGCATGTACCACATTTGTAAACGTCTTAAGAAAATCATCAGGAAAACATGTTTACATTGATGGGTGAACAAAATGCTGATATACAAAACTCAACCTGATTAGCCTTTTTAAAAGTGAAAATGTAAAGGGAAATATGCTTGTCTTTTAAAAACTAGGGTGCAGGTCAGCATGATTACCCTGTGATGGGAAAACAAGCTCCTACTGCTTTTGTCTTTTCATTGAAACAATCGAATAAATAGGAGTGATCATTCTTGGTCATTGAAACTCAAATGACCCGCAGTTGGGTTTTGCTGAAGTAGCTGGATCAAACAATCAGAAAGAGACAATGCTTGTTTATATATAAGACAAATTGCCCAATAATGCTATTTGTGTTGTATAGAATATCATGACTGTGGGAGATTTAATACAATATAACTTCTGGATCCCCCTGTTCATGGAGATGGCCCAGAAAACAACTGAATCTGTTTGATCTGAAAAGGTTTGGGATTTTAATTAAAAAGAGTGAATTTATATAACTTGTTTTGGACCACTTTAGTTTAAGCAGGGGTTGTTGCAGTGTCTCTCCATGAAGACGGCCAGGCAATTCTTCATTCTTAGTATTATGTTAAGTACATTTGTTCAGTACAGTGTATTTTTCCTCTCTGACATTGGTTTTGATATGTTTTGATGTGGAAATCTTATTAAATATGAAGTCTGGATTAAATGTTTATTTTTATTTATAAACAATGCAATATTCCACAGATCCAAAAACACAATTTTGACATCCTTTTGGTCCACCAGCCAATGTTGTTGGCGCTTATTTCATGTAACGGTCGAGAGTCCATACTCGAGCTTTCCCAGGGCTGTCATGCACAACGGTGGAGCGTGATGAAAACAGCCTTTTGTTTTGATATGACGTATGTAAAGCCTGGACACCCACAATACGTCACGGCGCGCGAAACTCAAGCTAGGTAAATAATTATTGCACCGCTAGCTAGCATAAGCATGTTTAAATTAAAATGTATATTTGATTACTCATTCCTATTCCGGTAGGCTGTGGTTAAAGCCATGGAACAGTTGGCACAGGAAGGGAAGGTCAAAGATAAAACCTATGGGAAGCAAAATATATACTTTGCTGATCAGGTGAGCCAGGCTAGGTATCCGAGCAGCACGTCAGTGCGTACTGTATATGTTGATGGTAATATGTAGCCACTGCTGTTCTGAATCTCTTCTGTTTTGATGATTAGTTGTTTTTTGGGGCTATTTTCACAAGTATGTAGTGAATTAGTAAAACACTCCAAACTGTTAACACTTGTAAGCAACCAGTCTTGCATTCAAAACCCTTCATTGTGCATTCATTTTGTTTGGAGACATCTTTCACCACACAACCAGTGATCCAAAACACAGGTTTACTGTGAAATTTGAGTACATTGGTTTAATCACCAAAACACAACATAATGATATTTTCTCAATTTAGTTATTTTAACATACTCCAATAGCAAAAAAAGCAGAAAATGTAAGATATACGTTTCAAAATTGCCCTTTGAATGTAGTATGCTACAGTACTGTAAATTACAGCACATTACACTGTTTTCACATTAGGCAATAAACTTGCACTACCCATCAAATTTGTATTAACATCAAATATTTATAATTTTCTATCCAGGCCTGGATTGAAATCATTGCATGCCTCATCCATGGCCTGAAGGAGGGTGGTACGCTCATGGGGATGGCAATCATACATATTCCACCTGTATTGTAATAAAGTATTTGTTTATTTTACAGTATTGTACTTGTGTATTGTAGTGGTCCTGTATGTGCTCAGTTCATAAGAGCAGGCACTAGCAACACCAGAGTTGTGGGTTCGATTCCCACTGGGGACACATACCAAAAATGTGGACTCACTTTGGATAAGTGTCTTGCTATGTAAATGGAATACATTATGGGTATTACAGTTCTGTATTGGCCAATACAAACTGTAGTAAAGCAGTGTGAAGTTTGGTGAAAAGGGGACTGATTTTGTGTTATAGTCAATTGAAAATGTGTTGTTTTGAAACGGACTTTCTGATTATATGTTTTGTACTAATAGTTGTGAAAATGTACCACATAGTTGTGAAAGTTGCAATAAAAAAAAACGGTAAAAGTAACTCCCAGTAATGTCCTTGACTGCCTCCAGGCCCAGTTTGCAGAGGTGAGTGAGGCAGATCTGAAGGCCATGGACAGTCACATCTCTGACCTCAGCACACAGGTGGAGGCTGTCTCTCAGGGCTGCAGGCAGCTGGACGCAGGTAGGGCTCCCCTCTTTGGCCCTATCACCACCCTACCCACACACACACACTGGACTATCTGACATACTTTTATCTCTGATTGCAGAGCTGAAGGAGCTCAACAGCTCCCTGACCACAGAGGAAATGATGTCAGAGATCCAGGAGCTGAAAGCAGAGTGTTCTGGGTACAGGGAGCGCCTGGAGAAGATCAAGTCAGCGACCAATCATGTCACACCAGAGCAGAAGGAGAAGGTATGGGTCACAATCAGACCTGGGTTCAAATACAAAACACTTTCCCCAGATACTGTGCTCATGCATCTTTCCTTCAGGTTTACAAGGAGAAACATCTCTACGTGAAAGAGTGGAAGAAGAGGAAGAGACTGGTGATTTATTTATTTTAGGGCTCTATTCCAGCTGTATTGCTGAAGTCTTACAGATAGCGTGATATAAATGTTAAGGTAATTTCCGATCAAGTAGACATGCATCGTTTACCGTGAATGCAGTCTCCGCTGACAGTGACGCCTTAAAATTTCAATCACACTGTACTTCCGCAATTTGGATTGAATAGAGCCCTTACTTGATCAAAGCCATAAGGGTATTAGTGTCAGAGCAGGATAAACCAGAACAAATAGTCTGATTTTGTCTCTGCTCCTCTCAGGCATCTGACATGATGGGTTCCATTTTGGAGGGATACCCCAAGACCAAGAAGCAATTTCTGGTAAGATGCTCTGCAAAACATAGATCTATAGTGACTGTTCTACACATTCATTCTATTGTTTGTATTTGGGAAATGAGACATTGTTCATCACATTTACATTTTAGTCATTTAGCAGACACTCTTATCCAGAGCGACTTATATTTAGTGAGTGCATAAATTTTTCTTCTTCATACATCACCATGACAGAGGCAGACAAATGCCTATCATGTTTACTCTATTTGTTAACCTGAGATGTCAGCATCCTTTTTGTGTTCTGTTTAGGAAGAAGTTGGTGTGGAGACTGATGAGGACTGTAAAGTGACTATGCCAAGTACCTGACAGAATGTTGGAGGATCTCTTACTTTGACTTGAATGTCAATTCAGATGGAGTTGCATTATGCCATCAAAACTCATTCCAGGAATAACTAATTACTATTTTTTATTTGTATGTTTTGATGTTGATTTGAAGAATCTTAATGTTTTGCAATAATACCTTGTACAGATGTATCCTTGCAATTAAAAATCATATTCATACGAAATACTTTCATCAAACTTCATCAGCAAAATAATGTAACAGTAGACCTGATTTTATTTATACCAGCACAGAGACTTGTCGTATAAAATTATCCCTTTTTAAAGTCAGGTGATTACACAGATTAAACATTCACATCTGTTAAGTTTACCAGAAGATACATTTGGTACAAGTTCTCCTGAGCACATTGTCAAAATAAATTATCATTCACATTCATTTTTACATTCTTGACTGTTTAAGGCCAGGATTCAATCAGATCTATGGTAACCTGCGTCAGCCGACAAACGCATTGCTTTTGTTTAGGCGGTGTTAGAGCTGTCAGATCGGCTGGTCATTGTAAAACCACACCCGTCCTTATATCCCACCCACCTTGGAAGTTCAGAACAAGAAAGTGTAGCCTATATTGAAATGACACTCGATCATTAAATGAAATCGAGATTTGTACCACCCTAATCGAGGTGTAGGTATCACACATTTCAGTGTTATAATTTGTAACATGGCTGCACGGGATTTCTACTAATATGACTCGGTGCATCCAATGGCAATGCCAGTTACGGTTAACGCCAGGAGCTTCTTGTGGATTTGACAGCTCTAACGGAGTAACACCTCCAACACCACCTAAACAAAAGCAATGATAAGCTATGCATTTACCACTAATCTGATTGAATCCTGGCCAGTTTTTTGGTTCAGAGATCCTGTTTAATACAGAACTATTCATTACATGACTATTCTACCGTGTCTTTTTGCCAATAAAGATTATGAAAAGGCGAAAAGCTGCAGTAACAGACTTACAAATATGCTTGATTCTGTCACAACATGGACACAACAGCAATCATATAACATCACAATCAATGATGAACATTTAACAATTCTCAAATACCATCACAACTTGTTTGAATTCTACCTTTTAACTCATGTTGCAGACAGTCTTGGATTTGATTCGAACTGGTTCATAACTTTATGCTGGTTTGAACACTGGAACAGAAAACAATTACAAAGTTCAGAATGGAACAATTAAACAATTATTTTGGTTCCAACCCCCGATTTGTGGTGAATGTAAACATTACGGAACGTTTACAAGCAATAGTGGCCATTTGCCTCGTTGAACACAACTCTATTCTGCAATGAGGAGAACCCCTGATGACTAAAACCACAGACAGAATGCTGGGCTGGATTTGACCTGACTAGACAGGAAACACCCAACCCTGTTGCAGACCCTGGTGGTGAGTTGAGTAAGAGTTAACGATTTAAATACTGCAGACCAGGAGGGAACAAGATAGGGTCTGGTAGAGACCTCACATATCAACCTGAGAACCCAGGGTAGGCCTCAGCTCCATCCCTGAGGGGAGATTCCTGTCCAGAGTTTACACCTGGCCACCATTAATACAGCTGGCTGTTGAGCTGCCGGAGAACTCCCACCACAAACTCACGCAATGTCTGGGAAGGAAAAGGGGACAAACATGGATTACCTTACACAGCTGTCAACTCAACATAGTCATCCATCCTCAGAGCAAGACAGGGTGGCTGCCATGTCAATTATAGCATGCAATGGTGATAGTTTTGACCTGTTGGGTCAGACTGAAGTCCAAAATACCATCATTGAGCAGAAAACACACCAAAATGCCATGACTATCACATAAAGACAATTACCTTAAATAAAACCATACATGATTTGGTGTGCCATCCATCCACCAGCAGCAAGAATCCCCCAGCAGTACAGTACATTGAGTGTCCTACCTGAGGCTTGCAGTGCTCCTCGATCCAGCTGAAGACGCAAGCGGACAGCTCCTGGAAGCTGGCCACAGACACTGAGCTGCTGAAGGACTGGAACAGGGAGTCCATGATGCTCTGAAACACGCTGAACTTGACCTGGTCCGACACCTGCTCCTCCCCCTGCTGAGGGTTGTTCTGGTGGGCATTCACTATATGCTCATAGTTCCTACAACACACAGGTTAAACACATTATAAACCGGGTAGTTTGGGTTCTGGATGCTAATTGGCTGAAATAGGCTGAAACAGCATTCCAGCCACGTGTATATCAGACAATATACCATGGGTATGATGCAAAACATATTTTTTGTTGTTATATTCATGTTGTTAACTGGTTTATAATAGCAATAAAGGCACCTCGGTGGTTTATACAGTGCCTTCAGAAAGTATTGACACCCCTAGACTTCTTCCATTTTGTTGTGTTACAGCCTGAATTTAAAATAGATTAAATTGAGATTTTGTGTCACTGGCATACACATAATATCAAAAGTGGAATAAATGTAGAGATTCTTTACTTAATTTTTTTTTTTTTATACAAACTAATAAAAAAATGAAAAGCTGAAATGTTTTGAGTTAATAAGTATTCAAGCCAGGGGTGTGAATACTTACATAATTTAGACATTTCTGTATTTCATTTTCAATAAATTTGCTAAACTTTCTACAAAAATGTTTTCACTTTCACAATTATAGGGTATTGTGTGTAGATGGGTGAGAAAAAAAAATTATTTAATCCATTTTGAATTCAGACTCTGTACCACACCTTCTTGGGCCTTATTGCTTAAGTAACATGTTCAACTACATCTGACCATTTCTAACCAGGTTTCCATCCAACCTTTTCATGCGCGTAAAGTACATGTCGGATATAAAAAAAGTGTCATGACAGGCCTGATTGAAACACAACATTTGTCGGTAAACGAACCAAATGCAGACAAAACAAAGCACGCTAGACAAGGTGGGATCTTTTTGAGTCTAAAATTAATTTTGCGAGAACTGTCGGTGGAAAAGCTTTTAATGTGCAAATATTAAATATAATAACCATCATATTGAAGTAAACTTGGAGTCACGCGATGACATGTGTGGTCCTCCCACTACAATGCATTGGGAAAGCATGCAGTTTATTAGGCTACAGATTAAATAAATAAATGATGGTGAACTTCACAGGGTGGTGAAAGTGCAAATTGATGAGCTTGATGCTCCTTTCCAATAAATATCGAGCTGCCGTTTGACAAAGCTGCCATGTAGGGCCTCCCGAGTGGCGCCGCTGTCTAAGGCAGTGCTAGAGGCGTCACTACAGACCCGGGTTCGATCCCGGGCGGTATCGCAACCGGGAGTCCCATAGGGCAGCGCACAATTTGCCCAGCGTCGTCCGGGCTAGGGGATGATTTTTTATATAGAAAAAAAACAACAACAAAAAAGCTGCCATGTTGGCTATACCCGCACTGTATCTGCCAGCTGTTGGCTAGAGCGCACGTGCCAATACCAGAGTGGGAACTCGCTGTATAACAAAATAAATGTGAGAAACCCCATCAGTAGAGTGACGTAAACCCATTTAACTTGTATGGGAATTTTACTACAAAAGGTATATTTATGTGCACTACGTCATCACGCACAGCCTTTTATCTGCAACAAGTCAATTTGATGGAAACACATCTCTGGTGGGAAAATGCGCATATTGTTTTTAATGCGATTTTAGCATATTCGCATGAAATGGATGGATGGAAACCTAGCTACTGACAATAGTGTTAATATCATATTTACACAACTATGATAGCATCGTAATGGGAGCACATGTTCAGGGCTCTACAGTAGTGGTCAAAAGTTTTGAGAATGACAAGTATTGGTCTTCACAAAGTTCGCTGCTTCAGTGTTATGAGATATTTTTGTCAGATGTTACTATGGTATACTGAAGTAAAATTACAAGCATTCCATAAGTGTCAAAGGCTTTTATTGACAATTACATTAAGTTTATGCAAAGAGTCAATATTTGCAGTGTTGACCCTTCTTTTTCAAAACCTCTGCAATCCGCCCTGGCATGCTGTCAATTAACTTCTGGGCCACATCCTGACTGATGGCAGCCCATTCTTGCATAATCAATGCTTGGAGTTTGTCAGAATTTGTGGGTGTTTGTTTGTCCACCCGCCTCTTGAGGATCGACCACAAGTTCTCAATGGGATTAAGGTCAGGGGACTTTCCTGGCCATGGACCCAAAATGTAGATGTTTTGTTCCCCGAGCCACTTAGTTATCACTTTTGCCTTATGGCAAGGTGCTCCATCATGCTGGAAAAGGCATTGGTCGTCACCAAACTGTTCTTGGATGGTTGGGAGAAGTTGCTCTCGGAGGATGTGTTGGTACCATTATTTATTAATGGCTGTGTTCTTAGGCAAAAATGTGAGTGAGCCCTCTCCATTGGCTGAGAAGCAACCCCACACATGAATGGTCTCAGGATGCTTTACTGTTGGCATGACACAGGACTGATTGTAGCATTCACCTTGTCTTCTCCGGACAAGGTGTTTTCCGGATTCCCCAAACAATCGGAAAGGGGATTCATCAGAGAAAATGACTTTACCCCAGTCCTCAGCAGTCCAATCCCTTTACCTTTTGCAGAATATCAATCTGTCCCTGATGTTTTTCCTGGAGAGAAGTGGCTTCTTTGCTGCCCTTCTTGACACCAGGCCATCCTCCAAAAGTCTTCGCCTTACTGTGTGTGCAGATGCACTCACACCTGCCTGCTGCCATTCCTGAGCAAGCTCTGCACTGGTGGTGCCCCGATCCCGCAGCGGAATAAACTTTAGGAGACGGTCCTTGCGCTTGCTGGACTTTCTTGGGCGCCCTGACGCCTTCTTCACAACAATTGAACCTCTCTCCTTTAAGTTCTTGATGATCCGATAAATGGTTGATTTAGGTGCAATCTTACTAGCAGCAATATCCTTGCCTGTGAAGCCCTTTTTGTGCAAAGCAATGATGATGGCACGCGTTTCCTTGCAGGTAACCATGGTTAACAGAGGAAGAACAATGATTTCAAGCACCACCCTCCCTTTAAAGCTTCCAGTCTGTTATTCTAACTCAATCAGCATGACAGAGAGATCTCCAGCCTTGTCCTCGTCAACACTCACCTGTGTTAACGAGAGAATCACTGACATGATAGCAGCTGGTCCTTTTGTGACAGGGCTGAAATGCAGTGGAAATGTTTTTGGAGGATTAAGTTCATTTTCATGGCAAAGAGGGACTTTGCAATTAATCTGATAATTCTTCATGACATTCTGGAGTATATGCAAATTGCCATCATCAAAACTGAGGCAGCAGACTGTGAAAATTAGTAGTTGTGTCATTCTCAAAACTTACTCGCATACGCGCCTAAATATTTTGCTGTGTGACCTGGAATTCTAATTTAGGAGCACCAGTGCGCCTAGAGAAAAGTAGGATTCTAGCTTTAATACCTCATTTTTCATTGTGCTCCTAAATTTCTTTGTGTGTGCCTACATTTCCCAACTTAGGCGCACACGTGCTCCTTGTAAAAAAGTTCAGCGTAGAGCCCTGATGCTATCAAAGAATAGCATAAATTACTGCACATTTCAAAACTGATATAAAATGAGGCTTCCGTGCCTCTTCAGGCTTAGATGGCAGCTCAATCCATTCAGATGTCCCCGTATGAGTGGCCTCCCTCCACAGTATACGCTGAGGGTCAACCAACCCTGTTGACTGCTTTCCTGGACTTATCTCTGGTGGAGCAGAGTGTGGGCTGAGGCATTTCCCTCTCTCTGATAAGGCCAGTCTGCCAGGGCTGACCTGATACAGCCTATGCAATCCTTTGCATGAGTTATTAGGTCAATTAAATATATCCTTGAAGGCTCTCTTAACCTTAATTATACATATTTAATCTAACATAGCTAATATCATCTTTAATGGTTTCACACTGCAGCTCTCCCTGTCTGCTTTTACATTTTACTGTATCACACTGTAGTAACAGATATTTTGCCTGTGACTTACGTTTTCATGATCTTCAGTGCCATCACTTCCTTCCTCAACATAGACATTTCCTCCTCCTGCTTCTTCTTCTCCTTGTGCAGAAACTGGATGTAGTCGATGGCTGCAGCAGGAAACACAGAAACAACCAGTCAGGGATTTCTGGATCAGGCAAGCATTTCTATCAGGGAGGAAAATTCCACCATAGGGTGGGACCCTTTCTAAATATTTATAGTATGTTGACATTATAAAGGCTGGTCGGAATGTCAATTTGCACAATCCTAAAATGTACATTTCCCACATTTCTGGTTGAGCAGTACAGTTAAGCAATAAGACACAAGGAGGTGTGGTAGATGGCCAATATACCACGGCTAAGGGCTGTTCTTATGCACGACGCAACACAGTGCCTGGATACAGCCCTTAGCCGTGGTATATTGGCCTTATACCAAAACCCCTGAGGTACCTTATTGCTATTATAAACTGGTTACCAATGTAATTAGAGCAGTAAAAATACATATTTTGTCATACCCGTGGTATACGGTCTGATAGACCACGGCTGTCAGCCAATCAGAATTCAGGGCTTGAACCACCCAGTTTATAATGGTCTATATAGAATATTGTACTTTTCTGCAGCACTGTGGCCTTGCTGATCTTCTGTGTCCCCACAGCAAACTCAGACTGCTGCTGGCAGGTGGGCACTATGGACTGTAGATCATCATATCCTTTCTGTGGAGTCAAACACACAAGACAAACAGATTTTAGAATTGACAGAAGTATTACATTTGGCCACCTAAGAAACATCTAATTTATTGGAAGAGATCAGAGCCACCAACTCCTTCTGTCCAAAGACCCCCCACCCTCATTTCCCAATCCTTTTTATTTTTCTCCCTTGTCCCTTTTTCAACTACCCTCCTTCCCATGATCTATGCTTCTGTTATTCCACTCCCTATCGGAAGCCAACCTTGATAGCATCCCGTCGTTTCTGCTCGGCCTGTGTGTGTGCCTGTCTCCGCCGGTCTTTGTAGGACTCCTTGTATGTGGTCTCATGCCTGTAGTCACTGTCTTCATCATCTACAGTGAGGAGAGGAAGAGCAGGTGTTTCAGTCTACCTCCCTAGGGCTCAAGGCTGACATCAAGCTAGAATAAAGCACTGGACCATGAGAGAGCAGGACAATGCCCAACCAAACTAGGTCACTTGGAAATGCAATTGAAAAAAAGTGTAGCTCAGTTGGTAGAGCATGGCACTTGCAACGCCAGGGTTGTGGGTTCGATTCCCACGGGGGGCCAGCATGAAAAAAAATTATGCACTCACTAACTGTAAGTCGCTCTGGATAAGAGCGTCTGCTAAATGACTAAAATGTCAAATGTAAAAAAATTATAAGAAAGAATATAGTGGAAGTGAGAGTGGGGTAGGGAGTAACAGAATGAATTAAAGGGGCACTGCATGAATTATGTTTTTTTTGAATCAGGACAAAATAAATATGCAGCATTGTCTCACCTACACAAGCCGTTTAGTCATACAGTACACACATCAACATCGCCGATAGAAATATTTCCTGACATATGTTGTCTAAACATAAATGACTAACAACACAGTACCTGTATTTGGTACTGATGAGGCACTTGTGGACCCGATGCTGTTAGCCCTGGAGACCACAGTACTCTTCCTTGCATTCTCAGCAAAAAAACCTTAAAGGAGAACATGAAGAAGAGTTCAGACATCATTAAATGACAAATCAACAGTTACCCACAGGACTGGTAGCCTACTAGCTATAGACTGTACATTTGGGTAAAACAACAGTTAGGCCTAACGATACTACTCACTGTGGTCAAATCCATTGTCACTGAAAGCCCCATCGTTCTGTTCAGCCATGGCAGGTGTTGACAGGAGAGAGAATAAAACAGTGGATAAGGAGGTGAGAACAACAGGCTCTTTCTCGTCTCTCACTCAATGGGCAGATTCGATTATACTGAGCCACAGGGCACCGGTCTATGGTGACTTGAATGGGCAAAAGCAGTGAGGGAGGAGCTCCCTTCTCGAATCGAAACAGTAATCTGTGCTGCTTAGTAATGTCAACAACAATTCAATTCAACAAGGCAGCATGGTGCATCATCCAGAAACATACAACATCTCTTTTCCATAAAATAGCCTATATGTTTGAATTTTCAAACTAGTTTTCATTGGGAAGGCAGATAAAGGGTTTTTATCAAAAGCAATCACTTTTGCATGTGGAAACAGAATCCTACTCTACTTTTCAGGCGACTTCTTGCCACGTTCACATGCCAGTCTGAATTAGGAAACTCAAAAATGTCAGACTTGCTAACCGGTTGTAGTTATAAACGTTCCGCGTTCAACCAGTTAGCAATTCAGACATTTTCGAGTTTCCTAGTTCCGACTAGCACGTAAACGCAGCTGAAGTCGGCTGAAAAGTAGAGTAGGATTCAGGACTCCGCCGTGGACTTTGCACAGGGCACCGGTTCCAAAGCGAATTCAATCAACTTTCATTTTAATCTAATCCCCTCAGACAAACACAGCAATATGCATCAACAAAATCCACTGACAGTAGTCCTGTGGTGTAATCATTTGTCCAAACAGTTACGTTCTGCAACTAAAACAAGAGTTTATATTGGTCAAATACAGGTAGGTTCCTCCCCGTTTCGTTTGCTTCCGTTTAAGAAACATTTTGCAACAGAATCGGCAGATTGAATACACCACTGATTTGATTCAAGTAGGCAGAATTGTCAGAGAAGTCCTCTTTTTTGTTTAAATCTTGGACACAAGTGCAACCTGAGTTCCCACCAGCTAATAACCTGAACCTTTTGTGGCTAACTTGCTTGTAGCTAATCATTAAATGACCTGGTTACTAGGTGGCAGTGGTGGGAAAAGTACCCAATTGTCATACTTGAGTAAAAGTAAAGATATCTTAATAGAAAATGACTCAAGTAAAAGTCACCCAGTAAAATACTACTTGAGTAAAAGTCTACAAGTATTTGGTTTTAAATATACTTAAGTATCAAAAGAACATTTAATTGCTAAAATATACTTAAGTATATAGTAAAAAGTAAAAGTACAAATAATTTCAAATTCCTTATATTAAGCAAACCAGACGGCAACATTTTCTTTACTGATAGCCAGGGGCAAACTCCAACATTCAGACATCTTTACAAATGAAGCATGTGTGTTTAGTGAGTCCGCCAGATCAGAGGCAGTAGGGATGACCAGGGATGTTCTAGTGTGTGAATTTGACAATTTTTTCTGTTCTGCTAAGCATAAAAATATAAGGAGTACTTTTGGGTGTCAGGGAAAATGTATGGAGTAAAAAGTGCATTATTTTCTTTAGTAAATGTAGGCCCTACTGTAGCTCAGTTGGTAGAGCATGGCGCTTGCAACGCCAGGGTTGTGGGTTCGTTTCCCACGGGGGGCCAGTATGAAAAATGTATGCACTCACTAACTGTAAGTCGCTCTGGATAAGAGCGTCTGCTAAATGACTAAAATGTATAAGTAAAAGTAGTCAAAAATATAAATAGTAAAGTACAGATACCCAAAATAACTACTTAAGTAGTACTTTAAAGTATTTTTACTTAAGTACTTCACACTACTGCTAGGTGGCCGCTAGTTATGAGTAGCCCCGACGTTCCTATGCGGTCAGTGCATACAAGGCTGAAGTATGGCAAGTATTTTTGGCAAACCCATGTAAACACGTGCACGACCTCCGCAAACATGCGTTGCGTACATGTACATCGTGACGTATGCGCATGCTTCATCATGTGATAGAAATCTCAACACACTTCCAGCGTTTTGTAAAGTTGATTTATTAATACCTACCTGTGGATATATAATGACTGTACCATTTCCAAAATTAAACACTGGGTTCTCCCAGACGGTGAATTTGCAAATCACCCGTCTGGTCCACTAGGACTAGGCTACAAGTTGGCCAGCTAGCCAGCAGTTGACCATCACAGAACCGTAAAGAAAGGGGAATAAGCTTGAAAAGATTCATAAACAAAAGCGCTAGTACCTAGATAGCTATCCGTTAGCTAGCTAACACAAGCCAATTGTAGCAAGTTAACTCCAAATTACAAACACAGTATTCTTGCTACGAATATACGGCAGTGTCATACAACGCTTACTTGTCCTCACGTCTCATATATTTGTCTAAACTAGCTAGCTTACTTTGATCCAGTGATCCTCCGGCGATGTTGTAGGATCCGTCATCTTGGAATCAACAGCTGTTCGAGAGCGTCATGGGGTGGAAAAACAATTTGCAGAAAGGGAACTACGCCCTCTGCTGGTTCACACAGTATGACAGCTGGCCTCAAATAAGTGCAAGAAAGTGAGCATGTTTGGCCGTAGGGATCTATTGCTGCATTCAAAACCACTGGGAACTTGGTCAAATCATGACGTCAGTGATCTTCAGGTCGGAAAGTCGGAGGTCTAGAAAGAGGCCCGAGTTCCCAAGTTGGAATTTCGAGTTGGATGACCGTTCAAATCGATTTTTCCCAGTCGGAGCTCGTTTTTATTCTCCTGAGTTCGCAGTTGTTTTGAAGGTACTCAAATCGGAAGTCAGAGATATCCGAGTTCCCAGGTATTTTGAACATGGGAAATGGCTGCGTTTACACAGACAGGCATCGCCAATTCTGATATTGCTTTCACTAATTGGACCAATCAGATCTGAAAAAGATCTGATGTGATGAAGATCTGATGTGATTGGCCAAAATATCAGAATTGGGCTGCCTGTCTAAACACAGTCATAAACTCCTCATATCTGGAAGTAGGCCTGCTGCTGATGCTTTTTAAAAATCAGTAACTGATTTTGCTCTTGGACACTGGTGAGTGGATTATTTGGCCAGTCAGTGACATGAATCAATTAAGTCTGGTAGAAAAGTGTGTACAAATGTCTACTAAGACCTTTTTGATGTTCTGATTGTCAGCAATTTATTCACCACCACATGGAAACAAAGATGGCAATTTTGCCTTGACTTCACTAGGGGTAGTAATGTGCATATCTGACACAGGGTAGCGCTCTTGGAGTGTTCTTTGAGAGTACACTGGGTAAAACGCAACTGCACTCACACTTCCACAAGCTATGTTCTAGTAGTGGTTTCCTAACAATGGAAAGTCAAGAAAGTTATGATAAAAACACCTTACTTAATCCACCCCATGCACCCACCATCCACGAGGCAAGATACGTGTAGATACTTCATAGCTCATATGACTCTTCATAACTTACATGACTCTTCATAGCTCATATGACTATAGGCCCACTACACTTATGTAGTCTTCCTTTATCCCTTATTTTTCCCACCCCCTTTACTCTCTTGTCTATTTTCTCCAACCACATCCAATCACTTTCCTCCCTCTCTGCTTCTACCTCAGTCTCGTCTCTCCACCCTACTCTACCTTATTCCACCCCCTTGTAGTTGTGTTTCTCTCACACACAGCAGGAAGTTACTCTTCTGCTTTTTCTGGTTATGCGGTTTCTGCCTCTGCTGCGACGACTGTGTCAAACTCCCCTCTCCTTCCTGTAACACCCCTGCCCTGCCTGTCTGTGCTGAGCTCACTGTAGGAGCTTTAAGCAGTTAATAGTAAAAACAACATATTGCTTCAACACCTGTTATCCAGCAGAGAGTGAGGAGAGTGGAAGAGATACGGGATGAGGAGGAAAGATGTTGCTCCATCAAACATCCTCACCTCAGGACCAAGACAATTGCAGTAGGCCAGTGGCTGTTCGAGCCACCTGCCTAATCTCACAGAGACGTTGAAGTGCCAAGGACTCAAAGACCTGTTTTTATTTACGTTCTCTGCCCTACACTGGAAGTAACTAGCTACTTTTTTTCAGTGCGCGCAGACATCGGAGTTGGAGTTTCAGTCTGTTTTGGAATTAGGCCTACTAGCACTAACAGTTAAAATATAGTGTTTTTTTAACCTTTCCCCTGGATTACCTGTTCAGGTTGGTGATGGGGAATGCGGCGGGGGGAATAGAGCAGGCAGATGGCCGGGAGGCCAAGCACTCTGTGGGGTCAGGAACGGGCCTGAGTGTCCCCACCCCGACCCTGCAGAAGAAGCAGCCTGCTCCCCCCAAGCTGCCCGTGCCCCCAGAGGAGGAGCTGGAGGAGCGCTTCAGTGTGGTTCTGGTGAGTGGCAGGACAGGAGGGGAGACACACATCATGCATATCAACACACAGAAATACAGGCACATCACACAGGAATTTAGTTGCATCACACACCTACTGTATGTATTGCACTGATATCTAAAGTAACAGGTAAAATCACTCACTTAAATATGCTGGGTGCCAAATGTCTGAGAGAAAATACATTCAGTTTTACATTTGAATTCAGTCAAGGTAATTCTGGTTAATGTTAAAAAACAATGCAGTCTCTCTCACTGCAGCCAGTCATGTTAGTAAAGAGAGTTGACATTTTGTTGGCCTCAATCCCATCCAAAAGCTCACGTCCTCTTTTAGATATTTTGAAATCGGCCTCTCTGCTCAGCCTGTGTTCAAATGATCTCATAGACCTTCGACTGCAGTCTGCACTCTTAGAGGAACTGGAGACACCATGAAGGCAAGGTGCTGGATTGGGCAATATATTTTGAATGAATGAGACCACAAGACTAAGACAGGAAGGCAAATGTTTCTCTAATATTTCAACATGTCATTTCCCATCAGTTAACAGCTATGTAGGACAACATAATGCGATCAATCCAATACTAGAAGAATGGGTTTTTTTTAACAAAAGAAGCAGGACATCTCAGGGGAACAAGGCCTTATCTATAGAAAATATTAGTCAATCATGAGTAGCGCAAGCAGTGTGAATCGCACATTTAGATAAACATCTAATAAATGTGATGCCAAACCTATTAGGCACTAGATATGGAGACACACGAAAGACGTGACAACATGACAGTAAAACTATCTTTCCATGCATACACCTTCACCTTCTTTGACTTTTAGGTCTGATGCATGTGGGCTGTCTATGTAGTGTGATAACTATTAGCTAATATGTGTGTGGTAAATACCCTTAATTAGCCTACGCCATTTCATGCCCACTGTCCTCTCTACCGGCCTGCTCTATCAGAGCATGACTTGACTTCCTCTTTCTTTCAACAGTGAATGCTACCTTCGCTAGTCTAGATTTCAAACAGACATAATACGGCACTTATAGCACTCACACAAGCAGATATGTTTAGGTATGTGGCAATGTGTGAGAGCAGATATTAGGTCAAAGCAATAATGTTTATTTTTTAAGAAGAGAGTCTGGGCTCAGGGTGACAGTAAGAATGGAACAACATGTTGAAACTGAGAACAGGACTTCCCCTCAGGTTCTAAATAGAGCCCCACAGTGGAAGTGTCATAATACCCATAAAACCTAGCGGTCAAACAGCAAAATGGTTCCAATCATTTTTCCACCATTAATTTTAGAAACACTTAAAATAAGGGCTGTGTTTTGTGTAGGCTTACCTTGGCGTGACGTTTTGATAACCATCTAAATCTTTCTCGGACAAGGTGACTTTTATCAATATATTCAGCTCTATTTACTCTCAGATTAGAAAATGCTAATTAGCATCAAAGTAGACATCATGCAAGACTACAAATCTCTGCAAGCTCCTGCATGTCATCTCTAGCGGACACCTTTGCTAACAGGTATTGTGTCAATTTAAAACTTGCATGAGACCATTCACCGAATTGTCAATTTAAAGAAATGTAGCCAATTTATTAATTTTAAAATGTAGCTAACATTAGATAGTTAATCCAGAGATTCTTACCTTTGCCTCGTTTCGGCGGTTTCATCCAGATCATCATGGCATTTGTAGTTCTGTATGATAGCCACATTAGCAGCTAATTTGCATTATTATTATTATTTAAAAAAAAATTTTGGGGGGGGGGTTAAATACAGGCAAATATATTGATATAAGTCACCTTGTCCTAGAGAGATTTACAAAATGTCACGCCAGGGTAAGCCTATACGAAACACATCCCTTATTTTAATTGTTTATAAAATCCCCTATGGGAAAAATGAATTGTGGGAAACAATTGGAACCATTTCCTTGTTTGACTGATAGGTTTTATGGGTATTATGACTCATACTGTGATACCCATATAGGGTCTCTAAATTGAGATACGGGTCGTTCCATTTGATTTCAATCACTTTTGACCGCACCCCCTTTGAGTTCAACTACACTTTCTATACATATTTGCCCATGGTTAGAAGTGGTCAGAAAGTAACTTTTTGGACCTGAGTGCCAAAACATTTAGGAGATGGAAGAGCTCAAAGTTGACCCATTTTGCATACCCCACCCTACCATGAGACATCCATATCTTCATCACTGGAAAAGATAAACAGTTGCGTTTGAAATCATTTAAAAGCTTACAAACAACTATTTTATAGTTTCTTGATTTATTTGTATTTTTATGAGTGAACATAAACGTATTCAAGAGTATACTGTGTCTCAACCGATGGCGGGCACAACACAAACACCTCAGATTATGTAAAATAGGGTCTAAGATACAACATATGCGAAAATGAAAAAAAATCAGAGTTTAAGCATTTTTATACTGAACAAAAATATAAACGCAACATGCAAAGTGTTGGTTCCATTTTTCATGAGCTGAAATAAAAGATCCCAGAAATACACACAAAAAGCTTATTTCTCTCAAATTTTGTGCACAAATGTATTTACATCCCTGTTAGTGAGCATTTCTACTTTGCCAAGATAATCCATCCACCTGACAGGTGTGGCATATCAAGAAGCTGATTAAACAGCATGATCATTACACAGGTGCACCTTGTGCTGGGGACAACAAAAGGCCACTCTAAAATGTGCAGTTTTGTCACACAACACAATGCCACAGATGTCTCAGGTTTTGAGGGAGTGTGCAATTGGCATGCTGACTGCAGGAATGTCCAAGAGAGCTGTTGCCAGAGAATGTAATGTTAATTTCTCGACCATAAGCCGCCTCCAACGTCGTTTTACAGAATTTGGCAGTGCATCCAACCTGCCTCACAACTGCAGACCACGCCCAGGACCTCCACCCTCCACATCCGGCTTCTTCACCTGCGGATCCTCTGAGGAGGGGGAGGGGAGGTGCTGAGGAGTATTTCTGTCTGTAATAATGCCTTTTTGTGGGGAAAAACTCATTCTGATTGGACCTGGCCCATGGCTGCGCCCCTACCCAGTAATGTGAAATCCATAGATTAGGGCCTAATGAATTTATTTCAATTGACTGATTTTCTTTGATGAATTGTAACTCAGTAAAATCTTTGAAATTGTTGCATATTGCGTTTGATATTTTTGTTCAGTGTAGATAATTTATGTCAAAGGTAAAAAAAAGGACTATTCTGATTTAAAAAACAATTTCTCAAGAAATTATAAAATAGTTTGAAAACCTTTTTAAGCTTTTAAGTGATCTCGAACTCAACCGTTTATATTTTCCAGTGATAAAGACATGGATGTCTCATGGTAGGGTGAGGATATTCAAAATGGTTAAATTTGAGCACCTCTATCTCCTAAATGTTTTTTCATTCAGGTCCAAAAAAATCCCTTTCTGTCCACTTCTACCATAGGAAAATTTGTATGGGACGTTTAGTTCAAATCAAAAGGGATGAGGTCAAAACGTTTTTGAAATCAAATGGAACGACCCATACCCCAAAATGTAGGTGTGTGCGTGTGTGTGTGCATGCATGCTTGCGTGTGTGTGTGCATGCTTGCGTTCATGTGTACAACCCATGCGCACATAAGAGTATACAGTGCCTTCGGAAAGTATTCAGACCCCTTGACCTTTTCCACATTTTGTTACATTACAGCCTTATTCTAAAATTGATAACATTGTTTTTTCCCCCCTCATCAATCTACACATAATACCCCATAATGACAAAGCAAATTTGCTAATTTATTACAAATTAATTATCACATTTACATAAGTATTCAGACCCTTTACTCAGTACTTTGTTGAAGCACCTTTGGCAGCGATTACAGCATCGAGTCTTCTTGGGATGACGCTACAAGCTTGGCATACCTGTATTTGGGAAGTTTCTCCCATTCTTCTCAGCAGATCCTCTCAAGCTCTGTCAGGTTGGATGGGGAGCATCGCTGCACACCTATTTTCAGGTCTCTCCAGAGATGTTCGATCAGGTTCAAGTCCATGCTTCACCGTATTGATGGTGCCAGGTTTCCTCCAGACGTGACGCTTGGCATTCAGGCCAAAGAGTTCAATCTTGGTTTCATCAGATCAGAGAATCTTGTTTCTCATGGTCTGAGAGTCTTTAGGTGCCTTTTGGCAAACTCCAAGCGGGCTGTCATGTGCCTTTTATTGAGGAGTGGCTTCTGTCTGGCCACTCTACCATAAACTCTTCTGTCAGAGTGACCATCGGGTTCTTAGTCACCTCCCTGACCAAGGCCCTTCTCCCCCGATTGCTCAGTTTGGCCGGGCGGACAGCTCTAGGAAGAGTTTTGGTGGTTCCAAACTTCTTCCATTTAAGAATGATGGAGGCCACTGTGTTCTTGGGGACCTTCAATACTGCAGACATTTTTTGGTACCCTTCCCCAGATCTGTTCCTCGACACAATCATGTCCCGGAGCTCTACGGCCAATTCCTTCGACCTCATGGCTTGGTTTTTGCTCTGACATGCACTATCAACTGTGGGACCTTATATAGACAGGTGTGTGCCTTTCCAAATCATGTCCAATCAATTGAATTTACCACAGGTGGACTCCAATCATGTTGTAGAAACATCTCAAGGATGATCAATGGAAACAGGATGCGCCTGAGCTCAATTTCGAGTCTCATAGTAAAGGGTCTGAATACTTATGTAAATAAGGTATTTATGTTTTATATTTTTAATACATTTGCACAAATTATGTGGTATTGTCTGTAGATTGCTGACGATTATTTAAAAACAAAGTGTGGAAAAGTACTTTCCGAAGGCACTGTATGTCTTTCTGAGTGTGTATGTGGGTATATGTGTGTATGAGTAACCTCATGTCTGTATGTACAGCGCATATTCACATACATATTGTGTACATTTAGTTTTCTGTTGCTAGTCTTTGTCCCTCAAAATCCACCATCGGTCACTCCCATACTGTACCCCACCCAAACACTATAGCTATGTCCCCAGCAAAGCCACACTTACTGGGGCACACGTCATCCTCAGGGGTTTGTTAACGTGTATAGAGGAAACCACAAACTGTTGCTTGAGAACATTAAATTCCGTATATCTAACCACAGTCCACACCCTTCTTAGTAGGCCTTAGACTGCCTCGACTAAAACATCACTCATCTAAAATGCCTTAAATAAATAACTTTCACTAGCTGTTAGTTTGGCCGGCAACATCTATGGTGTTAATATGTGTGTCACATGAGAATGATGCTTAATATATATTGTATTTCACACCATGTTAATCAATAGTCATGACAGAGTTGAATCAGCTTCTTGTGATATACAGTACCAGTCAAAAGTTTGAACACACCTACTCATTTCAGCGTTGTTCTTTATTTTTACTATTTTCTACATTGTAGAATAATAGTGAAGACATCAAAACTATGAAATAACACATATGGAATCATGTAGTAACCAAAAAAGTGTTAAACAAATCAAAATATATTTTATATTTGAGATTCTTCAAAGTAGCCACCTTTGCCTTGATGACAGCTTTGCACACTCTTGGCATTCTCTCAACCAGCTTCACGAGGTAGTCACCTGGAATGCATTTCAATTAACAGGTGTGCCTTGTTAAAACTTAATTTGTGGAATTTCTTTCCTTCTTAATGCGTTTGAGCCAATCAGTTGTGTTGTGACAAGGTAGGGGTAGTATACAGAAGATAGCCCTATTAGGTAAAGAAATTCCACAAATTCACTTTTAACAAGGCACACCTGTTAATTGAAATGCATTCCAGGTGACTACCTCATGAAGCTGGTTGAGAGAATGCCAAGAGTGTGCAAAGCTGTCATCAAGGCAAAGGTGGCTACTTTGAAGAATCTCAAATATAAAATATATTTTGATTTGTTTAACACTTTTTTGGTTACTAGATGATTCCATATGTGTCACACCCTGGCTCTGGGGACAATGTTATGTTGAGCCAGGGTGTGTAATTCTATGTTTGATTTGTCTATGTTGGTCTGAGTGACTCCCAATCAGAGGCAACGAGTGTCAGCTGGGTGTCTCTGATTGGGAGCCATATTTAACTGTCTGTCTTTCACGTTGTGTTTGTGGTTTCTTGTTCGTGTTGGTGTGTGTTTAACCATAGACGTCACGTTTTTCATTTGTTGTTTTGATCGTGTGATCATTTAATAAATATAATATGTTCACCCGCAACGCTGCGCCTTGGTCTCTCCATGACGATCGTGACAGAAGAAACCACCTAAACCAGACCAAGCAGCGTGTCCAGGAGCCATCGCTGGCAGATCTCCGTGGCAGCCTCGACTGGGTCAAGCCTAGTGAGGAGCAGAGAGGGTGGACTTGGGACCAGTTGAGGAGGAGCTTCGACTGGGTCAAGCCCATTGAGGAGCTGAATGGCGAGAGTTGGAGACAGAGGAGCGAGAGTTGGGCGAGAACGATGGAGGCCTGGCCCACGGGGAGGAGATACCCCCAGAATTTTTTTTTGGGGGGGCTCACGACGTCGGGGCAGCAGGAGGCCGCGATAGAGCGGTCCAGCGGGTTGGCAGAGGAGGCCGCCAGGTTACGGGAGTCACTGGTCACCAGGGGGAAGGAGGTTGTAGAGGCACGGCGAGAGGTACTGGTGTGTGTTCCCAGTACGGTCCGGCCTGTTCCTGCCACTCCCACCAAGTCAGTGGTGCGTTTCGTCAGCCCGGCGCGGCCCATTCCTGCTCCCCGCACCAAGTCAGTGGTGCGCGTCGTCAGCCCGGTCCGGCCCATTCCTGCTCCCCGCACCAAGTCAGTGGTGCGCGTCGTCAGCCCGGTCCGGCCCATTCCTGCTCCCTGCACCAAGTCAGTGGTGCGCGTCGTCAGCCCGGTCCGGCCCATTCCTGCTCCCCGCACCAAGTCAGTGGTGCACGTCGTCAGCCCGGTCCGGCCCATTCCTGCTCCCCGCACCAAGTCAGGGGTGCGCTTCGTCAGCCCGGTCCGGCCCATTCCTGCTCCCCGCACCAAGTCAGTGGTGCGCTTCGTCAGCCCGGCTCGGCCCGTTCCTGCTCCCCGCACCAAGTCAGTGGTGTGCTTCGTCAGCCCAGTCCGGCCTGTCCCTGCTCCAAGCACCAAGCCAGAGGTGCGCGTCGTCAGTCCAGCACAACCCGTGTCTGGTTCATGTCCGGAGCCGGATCCGCCGCCTAGGCGGAGTGCCCACCCGGTCCCTCCCCTGTGGGATTTAGTTGGCGCGGTCGGAGTCCGCGCCTTTAGGGGGGGGTACTGTCACGCCCTGGCTCTGGGGACAATGTTATGTTGAGCCAGGGTGTGTAATTCTATGTTTGATTTTTCTATGTTGGTCTGAGTGACTCCCAATCAGAGGCAACGAGTGTCAGCTGGGTGTCTCTGATTGGGAGCCATATTTAACTGTCTGTCTTTCACGTTGTGTTTGTGGTTTCTTGTTCGTGTTGGTGTGTGTTTAACCATAGACGTCACGTTTTTCGTTTGTTGTTTTGATCGTGTGATCATTTAATAAATATAATATGTTCACCCGCAACGCTGCGCCTTGGTCTCTCCATGACGATCGTGACAATATGTGTTATTTCATAGTTTTGATGTCTTCACTATTATTCTACAATGTAGAACATAGTGAAAATAGGTGTGTCCAAACTTTTGACTGGTACTGTATACACACCATATGTTCTTGTAGAAAGGGCCACATGGCTCACCTGTCATAGAGACAAATAACTATTGAATCAATCAGGTTAAATCCACTTGAATCTAAGCAGCAACTCACTCAAACAGACCACGGCTAAAGGACTACTGTATAGGCAAGCTATGCTCAATGATGAATGGAGGAGCATTATCTGTATGTGTTAGAAAATGCTCATGACTAGACCTGATACATGCTCATAGATGGTTTCCATTAGTTACCAGTAATATATGTAAACAGTGAGTCATCTCGGTGGTGTAGGATGACGATAACATTCACTAATACCTCTGGTGGGGACATCTGTGGTTTTTGATCACATTTGAACAGCATGGCACGAACCGGAAGCGTTATGAAAATGTGCACAAGAGTGTTGGCTGTTTGGTAGTGAAATATTTTATTTAAGATTATATTATTATGCAGGCACTGCTTAATTTAAGTCTATTGAGTAACATGCCGTTGTAGACCAGTCAGAGTTAATTTAATATACAAGATCCCCAAAGACCCCAGTTGTAATCACAATAACGGTTTAATGTCATTATTGAGGTAGGTTTTTGAAGTGCACCTTATTCTATTCTCAGAGCTATATGAACCTGCCTCCAGACAAGCTGAAGCTGTTGAGTCAGTACGACAATGACAAGAAGTGGGAGCTGATCTGTGATCAGGTAAGAACATTACATCTTGTTGGGCACCTTACATGGGGTGATTGGTTCATGCACTAGTACATACACAGTTCTACATGATTGGGTAACCACTCTGTTACCATGCCAACCTGCTGAGGGCAAGTGTGCTTACCACAGGAACCCATCAGAGTTGTAGTGTTGTGGTAGAAACAGACTCTATGACATTTTGCACTCTGACCTACATTACATATTGGCAACTGAACACCAGCAACACAATGTATTAATCATTACTCCCACATTTATGAATAATCATAAGTAAAGGATTTTTCAGTCCCTAATCTAAAGCGAGCACTATTTAACCATAACCCTTACCTAACCTAACCTAGCCATAACCATAAATGGTGTGTCATATTTTTGTAAATGTCTTATAAATGGTTTATTATGGACCGTTAAAATAAAGTGTAACCCATGATTGTATCTGAGATGAAGTGTTATAAAAACACAGCATACGGAAATAACTGTGAAGAAAAATAAATGTGTGTTGCTGGTGTTCAGTTGCCAATATGTAATGTAGGTCAGAGTGCAAAATGTCATAGAGTCTGTTTCTACCACAACACTACAACTCTGATGGGTTCCTGTGGTAAGCACACTTGCCCTCAGCAGGTTGGCATGGTAACAGAGTGGTTTATGGTGCTTGTTGTGTTTGACTATGTTCTTTTTCTTCTCACTCACCCTCCTCCCCTCATTCCCTTCTCCTTCCTCCCTCCGTTCTGTGTGGTCAGGAGCGGTTCCAGGTGAAGAACCCCCCCTCTACCTATCTGACCAAGATCAAGAGCTTCTACCAGGACCAAGGAGGAGTGACCCGCAGGGTGGGTGTACAGTACCTCCCTTCCCGCTCACGTTCATAGAGCTTCTTGTCATTCTCACCGTAGCCAGGGATTTCAAGAACTAAATATGTGTGTTTTGGAACAATGGGATAACAATATTACATCTACAGTAGTAGTACATCCTTGCATTTTATGACAAAGCCACTAAGCGAGTAATATAAGGCCAGTCTCATTAGCATAACTACTGATATAAAGGTTTGTGAGTTTCCTTCATTCATAGAGCTTCTCTGTATGGTTTTGGCCTATTTCAGTTCAAGAGGCGGGTCCTGGAGTCCACCCAGGTACTGAGAGAGCTGGAGATCTCCCTCCGCACCAATCATATTGGGTGAGTGACTGGACCAGGATTAGCCTCTGCCGTGTCCCGAACAACCGGATGTTCTGGTTTTCTGGGGAAATGGAAAGAGAGCCTGTGACGCGACTTCCGCTTTTGGACGTTAACAAGGCGACTCTCCATCTTAACTCCTCCTCCACATTTACTGGATTGGTTGAACAATGCAGAAGAGAACCTCCCCCGACAGTTTATTTTCTTCTTCTCGTCAAGACCAGTATGTAGGGGATCTAGTTTCAGGCGTTTCTTTTACGCCTGCTATGTTAGGTTTGACCAGGACTGGTCCCACAGGTATCTAATCAGTCAGTACGACTGACTCAACTGTCCTTAAAGTAGTATCGGGTTGTAATTCTCTTTCTCTCTATATAGCTGGGCCCAGGAGTTTCTGAATGAGGAGAACCAGGGTTTGGATGTATTGGTGGACTACCTGTCCTACGCCCAGTGTGACGCTTCGTGAGTATCCCTTGCAGCCTCCCATTCAGTCTTAACAGAATCCCGTACTGTATCAATGAGACATAGATTAATGCTTCATTATCTATATGTGACTATATGTTTGTGTATTTGGGAATGTATCTATAGGTTTGACCTGGAGGGTGCTGAGAATGGGGGAACACTGTCAGAGAGAGGGAAGCCAGCGGAGAGGTCCATGGAGGACCTGAATAAGAGTGCAGGAAGCTCCCCTACACATGGCATGACCAGAGCAGCCCGCGCCCTAACCGTACGGTAAGAACCATCAGCCGTTATGAGACCAGAGTCTCACTAAGCAAGCCTTACAGACCACAGGATAAATCTCACCAAAAATATTCCACTGCAAAGTGACCACCATCTCTTCCATCCTCTCAATATCTCATTTGCAGGATAACCTCTCTGGCCCAGAGTAGGAGAACTCAGAAGAGCTCTCAATTGACCAGTCATAGGGACGACGTCCATGTGTGCATCATGTGTCTGCGTGCCATCATGAACTACCAGGTGTGTGTGTGTTGTGCGGTGTGTGTGCATGACCGTGATATGGAGTTTGAAATAGTGAAATTATAGAGCTGATTATCACTTTTTCAGTCGGGCTTCAATCAAGTGATGACACACCCACGCTGTGTCAACGAGATCACTCTCAGTCTCAACAACAGGAACCCCAGGTATGAACACCTGTGTGTGTGTGAGCATGCTTGTGCATGTGTATGAAGTGTGTGTGTTTGATGTGGTATTATATTCCTGGTCTCTACAGAACCAAAGCCCTGGTGTTGGAGCTGTTGGCTGCTGTGTGTCTTGTGAGGGGCGGTCATGACATCATTCTCGCTGCCTTCGACAACTTCAAGGAGGTGACGGGATTGACCAAACTTAGCCACACTAGAACAGACTTTACTTGACCAATATGTACTGTATGTCATCTCACCTTTGCCTACTCATTTGTGTGTTCTCGGGGCCAAGACTTTTCTCTTCAAACTCATCTCATAACTGATACATGCCACACCCTGTCTTAGTCACACCAAGCACACTTAGAACTCTAAAACACACACTCACACAAAGACATCATGTTGTGAGTGCGTAACCATTACTCACCAAACTGAATGTAATCTGGAAAAATTCAACTGACATCGATATAGACTTTCCATATCGGTGACCATCACGACTAATACTAGATTTAATGTTAGAAATGTTTAAAGCAGAAGTGGAAGTATTTTATCAGCTTTCTATGAATGCAAACACACACTGTACAAAGTAATAAAACATACACCCTCTTGTGGACATCTGTTGAAGTGCATGACTGTGTTACTGAAACAAGGAACGTCTGTCCCATGTCTTTTCACTCAGGTGAGCGGAGAGAAGAACCGCTTTGAGAAACTGATGGAGTACTTTAGCAACGATGACAGCAACATTGACTTCATGGTACGTGGACACAAAACGGCTTTAAATCTACTGGCTGATGTGTTGACATTGCTCACAATGTAGTTCTGAAAGGTTAAAGATCAAATATGATGATCCTTCTCTTCAGGTGGCCTGTATGCAGTTCATTAACATTGTGGTGCATTCGGTGGAGAATATGAACTTCCGTGTTCACCTGCAATATGAGTTCACTCACCATGGACTGGACCAGTACTTAGAGGTAAGCTCTCATCTCATTGTGGAAAATCGAACGGTCACAACCACAAAACCAACTCCTTAAAACTGAAATGAAATCGCCATGATAACGATGATAATGTGTGTGTGTGTGTGTCAGACTCTGAAGCTGACAGAGAGTGAGAAGCTGCAGGTTCAGATTCAGGCCTACTTGGACAACGTGTTTGATGTGGGGGCTCTGCTGGAGGATGCAGAGAACAGGGGTGGGGTGCTGGAGCATGTGGACGAACTGCAGGAGCATAACACACAGGTCAGTCATACATACTGTACACACACAGTCTGATTCATTCAAATCTAAACAATGCCAGCAATTATTCTATGACTCTGTCTGTGACCTCCAAATTATGTGTTGTGTCATGTTGTGTTGTGTTCTGTCATGTTGTGTTGTGTTTTGTCATGTGTTGTGTCGTGTTGTCATGTGTTGTGTCGTGTTGTGTTGTGTCGTGTTGTGTTGTGTTGTGTCGTGTTGTGTTGTGTCATGTGTTATGTTGTGTTGTGTTTTGTCATGTGTTGTGTTGTGTCATGTTGTGCTGTGTCGTGTTGTGTCATGTGTTGTGTCGTGTTGTGCTGTGTCGTGTTGTGTTGTGTCATGTGTTGTGCTGTGTCATGTGTTGGGTCATGTGCTGTGCTGTGTCGTGTCATGTGTTGTGTCATGTGTTGTGTTGTGTTGTGTTGTGCTGTGTCGTGTTGTGTTGTGTCATGTGTTGTGTTGTGTCATGTGTTGTGTCGTGTTGTGTCATGTGTTGTGTCGTGTTGTGTTGTGTCATGTGTTGTGCTGTGTCATGTGTTGTGTTGTGCTGTGTCGTGTCATGTGTCGTGTTGTATCGTGTTGTGTTGTGTCATGTTGTGTCATGTGTTGTGCTGTGTCATGTTGTGTCGTGTTATGTCATGTGTTGTGTTCTGTCATGTTGTGTTTTTGTAGCTGAGTGCCAGGCTAGAGGAGATTGAGAGCCAGTCTGCAGAGAGGATGGCTGAACTAGAGAAACAGCTCCTCCAAGCCACCAAGGAGACAGAGCTGCTCAAGGTCTGCACTGTACAGTTAACTGAGGACTGTTTACAATATAGTGTATCAGACAGAAAGGTATGTGTGTGATTGTGTGATGATAACTTTTCCTTGCCTTTGTGTGTGCGACTGACAGGGGAACCTGCGGGACTCCTGTTCCCAGGTCAGTTCTCTGCAACAGAGAGAGAGGGAGAGGGAGATAAGCCAGGAGAGGGAGCGGGACAGAGAGCGTCTAAGCCAACCCTCCTCTGAGCTGGAACTCAAGGTGCAGGAGCTGCAGGACCGAGGGCTGATCCGCCTGGGACGCACCCCCTCTGGGGCCCTAGACCTCCAGGTGGTGCCTGTCACCATCATTGAGTACGTCCCCGCCCCAGCCTCTGAGCCCCTGCTCAGCTCCACTGGACCCACTGCCCCTGGCCCAGACGTCCCCGATGCCACTCCCTCCTCAGCCATCTCTGCTGTCCTCCCTCCTCCTCCTCCCCCACCCCCTCCTCCTCCTGGGCCTGGTGGACCTACTCCCCCACCCCCTCCACCTCCACCTCCTCCCCCGCCTGGCTCCGGTGGCCCACTTCCCCCTCCTCCGCCCCCTCCCACCGCGGGAGGTCCGCCCCCACCTCCTCCTCCACCCGGCGCTGGACCCCCGCCCCCACCCGGAGGCCCACCTTCTGGAGACAGCCAAGCCGGTAAGGTGACTCTTATCTGCTTTCATTAGAGATATACAGATACAGTGGCTTGCGAAAGTATTCACCCCCTTGGCATTTTTCCTATTTTGTTGCCTTACAACCTGGAATTAACCTGGGTTTGTATCATTTGATTTACACAACATGCCTACCACTTTGAAGATGCAAAATATTTTTTGTGAAACAAACAAGAAATAAGATTAAAAAACTGAAAACTTGAGCGTGCATAACTATTTACCCCCCCCCCCAAAGTCAATACTTTGTAGAGCCAACTTTTGCAGCAATTACAGCTTCAAGTCTCTTGGGGTATGTCTCTATAAGCTTGGCACATCTAGCCACTGGGATCTTTGCCCATTCTTCAAGGCAAAACTGCTCCTGGGATTTTTGCCCATTCTTCAAGGCAAAACTGCTCCAGCTCCTTCAAGTTGGATGGATTCCGCTGGTGTACAGCAATCTTTAAGTCATACCACAGATTCTCAATTGGATTGAGGTTTGGGCTTTGACTAGGCCATTCCAAGACATTTAAATGTTTCCCCTTAAACCACTTGAGTGTTGCTTTAGCAGTATGCTTAGGGTCATTGTCCTGCTGGAAGGTGAACTTCCGTCCCAGTCTCAAATCTCTGGAAGACTGAAACAGGTTTCCCTGTATTTAGCGCCATCCATCATTCCTTAAATTCTGACCAATTTCCCAGTCCCTCGGGGTGATGAGAGGTGTTGGGTTTGCGCCAGACATAGCATTTTCCTTGATGGCCAAAAAGGGGTGAATACATATGCACGCACCACTTTTCCATTATTTATTTCTTAGAATGTTTTGAAACAAGTTGTGTTTTTCATTTCACTTCACCAATTTGGACTATTTTGTCTGTCCATTACATGAAATCCAAATAAAAATCCATTTAAATTACAGGTTGTAATGCAACAAAATAGGAAAAACGCCAAGGGGGATGAATACTTTTGCAAGGCACTGTAACTGCCAAAATAAAGGAAACACCAACATAAAGTGTCTTAATAGGGCAGTGGGCCACCACGAGCCAGAACCGCTTCAATGCACTTTGACATAAATTCTAGAAGTGTCTAGAACTCCATTGGAGGGATGTGAAACCATTCTTCCATGAGAAATGCCATCATTTTGTGTTTTGTTGATGGTGGTGGTGGTGGAAAACGCTGTTTTAGGAGCCACTCCAGAATCTCCCATAAGTGTTCAATTGGTTTGAGATCTGGTTAACTGAGAAGTCATGGCATATGATTTACATTGTTGTCATGCTCATCAAACCATTCAGTGACCATGCGTGCCCTGTGGATAGGTTTATTGTCATCCTATGGGGGCATAGCCATGGTAGCCAACATAATGGCCTGCCCAGCATTTTTATAGGAAGTTAATTTACTCAGGAACCACACCTGTGTGGAAGCACCTGCTTTCAATATACTTTGTATCCCTCATTTACTTAAGTGTTTCCATAATTCTGGCAGTTACATGTGTACAGGATATCAGTGGAGGCTGCTGAGGGGTGGACGGCTCATAATAGCTGGAACAGAGCGAATGGAATGGCATCAAACACATGGAAACCATGTGTTTCATGTATTTGATACCATTCCACCTATTTCTCTCCAGCCAATACCAAGAGCCCGTCCTCCCCAATTAAGGTGCCACCAACCTCCGGTGGTATATATATTTCTTCCGCAGCTGTATATATATATATATACATACAGTGGGGAGAACAAGTAGTTGATACACTGCCAATTTTGCAGGTTTTCCTACTTACAAAGCATGTAGAGGTCTGCAATTGTTATCATAGGTACACTTCAACTGTGAGAGACGGAATCTAAAACAAAAATCCAGAAAATCACATTGTATGATTTTTAAGTAATTCATTTGCATTTTATTGCATGACATAAGTATTTGATCACCTACCAACCAGTAAGAATTCCGGCTCTCACAGACCTGTTAGTTTTTCTTTAAGAAGCCCTCCTGTTCTCCACTCATTACCTGTATTAACTGCACCTGTTTGAACCCGTTACCTGTATAAAATACACCTGTCCACACACTCAATCAAACAGACTCCAACCTCTCCACAATGGCCAAGACCAGAGAGCTGTGTAAGGACATCAGGGATAAAATTGTAGACCTGCACAAGGCTGGGATGGGCTACAGGACAATAGGCAAACAGCTTGGTGAGAAGGCAACAACTGTTGGCACAATTATTAGAAAATGGAAGAAGTTCAAGATGACGGTCAATCATCCTCGGTCTGGGGCTCCATGCAAGATCTCACCTCGTGGGGCATCAATGATCATGAGGAAGGTGAGGGATCAGCCCAGAACTACACGGCAGGACCTGGTCAATGACCTGAAGAGAGCTGGGACCACAGTCTCAAAGAAAACCATTAGTAACACACTACGCCGTCATGGATTAAAATCCTGCAGCGCACGCAAGGTCCCACTGCTCAAGCCAGCGCATGTCCAGGCCCGTTTGAAGTTTGCCAATGACCATCTGGATGATCCAGAGCAGGAATGGGAGAAGGTCATGTTGTCTGATGAGACAAAAATAGAGCTTTTTGGTCTAAACTCCACTCGCCGTGTTTGGAGGAAGAGGAAGGATGAGTACAACCCTAAGAACACCATCCCAACCGTGAAGCATAGAGGTGGAAACATCATTCTTTGGGGATGCTTTTCTGCAAAGGGGACAGGACGACTGCACCGTATTGAGGGGAGGATGGATGGGGCCATGTATCACGAGATCTTGGCCAACAACCTCCTTCTCTCAGTAAGAGCATTGAAGATGGGTCGTGGCTGGGTCTTGCAGCATGACAACGACCCGAAACACACAGCCAGGGCAACTAAGGAGTGGCTCCCTAAGAAGCATCTCAAGGTCCTGGATTGGCCTAGCCAGTCTCCAGACCTGAACCCAATAGAAAATCTTTGGAGGGAGCTGAAAGTCCGTATTGCCCAGCGACAGCCCCGAAACCTGAAGGATCTGGAGAAGGTCTGTATGGAGGAGTGGGCCAAAATCCCTGCTGCAGTGTGTGCAAACCTACAGGAAACGTATGATCTTTGTAATTGCAAACAAAGGTTTCTGTACCAAATATTAAGTTCTGCTTTTCTGATGTATCAAATACTTATGTCATGCAATAAAATGCAAATTAATTACTTAAAAATCATACAATGTGATTTTCTGGATTTTTGTTTTAGATTCCGTCTCTCACAGTTTAAGTGTACCTATGATAAACAATTACAGACCTCTACATGCTTTGTAAGTAGGAAAACCTGCAAAATCGGCAGTGTATCAAATACTTGTTCTCCCCACTGTATTTATATATATATATATATATATATATATATATATATATATATATATACAGCTGTGGAAAAAAATAATAGACCACTGCACATTTTTCTTAAATCAGCATCTCTACATGTATGATAGCCATTCCATTCCAGTGTCTGTTGAATTCCAACACAGGCACACCTCATTCTACTGAATTAGGTACCGATTAGGTGATCACATGAACCAAATCTTATTTAACGAGGAAAAGTATAAAAACCACTGCTGTGGTCATCACTATCCTCTTGCAATAGGACCAGCTGGATGGCAAAAACAATGCTAATAGTACCTCAAAAGTAATATTATTTAAAAAATAACTATTGACCATGCCAAAAGAGTTGAAAAGGAACGTTTTGAGTGAGGAAAAGAAGGGTTCAATTCTGGCTTTACTGGCAGAGGGATACAGTGAGCATCAGGTTGCTTCCATCCTTAAAATTTAAAAGACGGCGGTTCATAAGAACAAGGTCAAGCAGCAGACATTGTGGAAAACAAAGCTACAGACCGGCAGAGGGCGAAAACGACTCTCTACTGACTGGGATGACCGCCAACTCATTCGAATGTCACTCAACAATCGTAGGATGACATCAAGTGACCTACAAAAATAATGACAAACGGCAGCTGGGGTGAAGTGCACGGCGAGGACGGTTCGAAACAGGCTCCTAGGGGCAGGGCTGAAGTCGTGCAAAGCTAGAAAAAAGCCTTTCATCAATGAGAAGCAAAGAAGAGCCAGGCTGAGGTTTGCAAAAGACCATAAGGATTGGACCGTAGAGGACTAGAGTAAGGTCATCTTCTCCGATGAGTCCAATTTTCAGGGTGTGAGGCCATGTATCGCAAGATCTTGGCCAACAACCTCCTTCCCTCAGTAAGAGCATTGAAGATGGGTCGTGGCTGGGTCTTGCAGCATGACAATGACCCGAAACACACAGCCAGGGCAACTAAGGAGTGGCTCCCTAAGAAGCATCTCAAGGTCCTGGATTGGCCTAGCCAGTCTCCAGACCTGAACCCAATAGAAAATCTTTGGAGGGAGCTGAAAGTCCGTATTGCCCAGCGACAGCCCCGAAACCTGAAGGATCTGGAGAAGGTCTGTATGGAGGAGTGGGCCAAAATCCCTGCTGCAGTGTGTGCAAACCTACAGGAAACGTATGATCTTTGTAATTGCAAACAAAGGTTTCTGTACCAAATATTAAGTTCTGCTTTTCTGATGTATCAAATACTTATGTCATGCAATAAAATGCAAATTAATTACTTAAAAATCATACAATGTGATTTTCTGGATTTTTGTTTTAGATTCCGTCTCTCACAGTTTAAGTGTACCTATGATAAAAATTACAGACCTCTACATGCTTTGTAAGTAGGAAAACCTGCAAAATCGGCAGTGTATCAAATACTTGTTCTCCTCACTGTGTATATATATATATATACAGCTGCGGAAGAAATTAAGAGACCACTGCAAAACGACCAGTTTCTCTGGTTTTACTATTTATAGGTATGTGTTTGGGTAAAAATAACATTTTTGTTTTATTCTATAAACTACTGACCACATTTCTCCCAAATTCCAAATTAAAATATTGTCATTTAGAGCATTTATTTGCAGAAAATGACAACTGGTCAAAATAACAAAAAAGATGCAGTGTTGTCAGACCTCGAATAATGCAAAGAAAATAAGTTCATGTTCATTTTTAAACAACACAATACTAATGTTTTAACTTAGGAAGAGTTCAGAAATCACTCCTGGCGCAAAAATTCAAGCAGCTCGGCTTTGTTTGATGGCTTGTGACCATCCATCTTGCTCTTGATCACATTCCAGAAGTTTTCAATGGGGTTTAGGTCTGGAGATTAGGCTGGCCATGACAGGGTCTTGATCTGGTGGTCCTCCATCCACACCTTGATTGACCTGGCTGTGTGGCATGGCGCATTGTCCTGCTGGAAAAACCAATCCTCAGAGTTGGGGAACAATGTCAGAGCAAAAGGAAGCAAGTTTTCTTCCAGGACAACCTTGTACGTGGCTTGATTCATGCGTCCTTCACAAAGACAAATCTGCCCGATTCCAGCCTTGCTGAAGCACCCCCAGATCATCACCGATCCTCCACCAAATCTCACAGTGGGTGCGAGACACTGTGGCTTGTAGGCCTCTCCAGGTCTCCGTCTAACCATTAGACGACCAGGTGTTGGGCAAAGCTGAAAATTGGACTCATCAGAGAAGATGACCTTACTCTAGTCCTCTACGGTCCAATCCTTATGGTCTTTTGCAAACCTCAGCCTGGCTCTTCTTTGCTTCTCATTGATGAAAGGCTTTTTTCTATCTTTGCACGACTTCAGCCCTGCCCCTAGGAGCCTGTTTCGAACCGTCCTCGCCGTGCACTTCACCCCAGCTGCCGTTTGTCATTATTTTTGTAGGTCACTTGATGTCATCCTACGATTGTTGAGTGACATTCGAATAAGTTGGCGGTCATCCCAGTCAGTAGAGAGTCGTTTTCGCCCTCTGCCGGTCTGTAGCTTTGTTTTCCCCAATGTCTGCTGCTTGACCTTGTTCTTATGAACCGCCGTCTTTTAAATTTTAAGGATGGAAGCAACCTGATGCTCACTGTATCCCTCTGCCAGTAAAGCCAGAATTTAACCCTTCTTTTCCTCACTCAAAACGTTCCTTTTCAACTCTTTTGGCATGGTCAATAGTTATTTTTTAAATAATATTACTTTTGAGGTACTATTAGCATTGTTTTTGCCATCCAGCTGGTCCTATTGCAAGAGGATAGTGATGACCACAGCAGTGGTTTTTATACTTTTCCTCGTTAAATAAGATTTGGTTCATGTGATCACCTAATCGGTACCTAATTCAGTAGAATGAGGTGTGCCTGTGTTGGAATTCAACAGACACTGGAATGGAATGGCTATCATACATGTAGAGATGCTGATTTAAGAAAAATGTGCAGTGGTCTATTAATTTTTTCCACAGCTGTATATATATATATATATATATATATATATATATATATATATATATATATATATATATAAATACAGTGGGGAGAACAAGTATTTGATACACTGCCGATTTTGCAGGTTTTCCTACTTACAAAGCATGTAGAGGTCTGTAATTGTTTATCATAGGTACACTTCAACTGTGAGAGACGGAATCTAAAACAAAAATCCAGATAATCACATTGTATGATTTTTAAGTAATTCATTTGCATTTTATTGCATGACATAAGTATTTGATCACCTACCAACCAGTAAGAATTCCGGCTCTCACAGACCTGTTAGTTTTTCTTTAAGAAGCCCTCCTGTTCTCCACTCATTACCTGTATTAACTACACCTGTTTGAACTCGTTACCTGTATAAAAGACACCTGTCCACACACTCAATCAAACAGACTCCAACCTCTCCACAATGGCCAAGACCAGAGAGCTGTGTAAGGACATCAGGGATAAAATTGTAGACTTGCACAAGGCTGGGATGGGCTACAGGACAATAGGCAAGCAGCTTGGTGAGAAGGCAACAACCGTTGGCGCAATTATTAGAAAATGGAATAAGTTCAAGATGACGGTCAATCACCCTCGGTCTGGGGCTCCAAGCAAGATCACACCTCGTGGGGCATCAATGATCATGAGGAAGGTGAGGGATCAGCCCAGAACTACACGGCAGGACCTGGTCAATGACCTGAAGAGAGCTGGGACCACAGTCTCAAAGAAAACCATTAGTAACACACTACGCCGTCATGGATTAAAATCCTGCAGCGCACGCAAGGTCCCACTGCTCAAGCCAGCGCATGTCCAGGCCCGTTTGAAGTTTGCCAATGACCATCTGGATGATCCAGAGCAGGAATGGGAGAAGGTCATGTTGTCTGATGAGACAAAAATAGAGCTTTTTGGTCTAAACTCCACTCGCCGTGTTTGGAGGAAGAAGAAGGATGAGTACAACCCCAAGAACACCATCCCAACCGTGAAGCATGGAGGTGGAAACATCATTCTTTGGGGATGCTTTTCTGCAAAGGGGACAGGACAACTGCACTGTATTGAGAAGAGGATGGATGGGGTCATGTATCACGAGATCTTGGCCAACAACCTCCTTCCCTCAGTAAGAGCATTGAAGATGGGTCGTGGCTGGGTCTTACAGCATGACTACGACCCGAAACACACAGCCAGGGCAACTAAGGTGTGTCTCCGTAAGAAGCATCTCAAGGTCCTGGAGTGGCCTAGCCAGTCTCCAGACCTGAACCCAATAGAACATCTTTGGAGGGAGCTGAAAGTCCATATTGCCCAGCGACAGCCCCGAAACCTGAAGGATCTGGAGAAGGTCTGTATGGAGGAGTGGGGCAAAATCCCTGCTGCAGTGTGTGCAAACCTGGTCAAGACCTACAGGAAACGTATGATCTCTGTAATTGCAAACAAAGGTTTCTGTACCAAATATGAAGTTCTGCTTTTCTGATGTATCAAATACTTATGTCATGCAATAAAATGCAAATTAATTACTTAAAAATCATACAATGTGATTTTCTGGATTTTTGTTTTAGATTCCGTTTCTCACAGTTGAAGTGTACCTATGATAAAAATGACAGACCTCTACATGCTTTGTAAGTAGGAAAACCTGCAAAATCGGCAGTGTATCAAATACTTGTTCTCCCCACTGTATATATAAATATGAATGGTAAGTAGCGGTCTACGGCAGAGATTAGAAGATGAGAGGGGAGACCATTCATCTAGAGGAGAGATAAAGAGATTAGGGTGTGAGAAGTCAAATAGGAGAGAGCTCCATGCTAATCAGATTGTCAATCAATCTCATGAATTTGTATGCGTCCAATTTGCTGAAGGGTGAAATGAATGCATTGGCGATTGACAACTGTGATTGATTCTCTCTCCTACTCTCTCTTTCTCTCTCTCTTTCTCTTAGGAGGTAAAAGCAGGAAGCCCATCCAGACTAAGTTCCGGATGCCTTTGCTCAACTGGCAGGCACTGAAGCCCAACCAAGTGACTGGCACGGTCTTCAACGAGCTGGACGATGAGCAGGTCTTAGGGGTAAGACCAAACCTCCACACTGATACTGGTGCTCCCTTCTCTCACCTTCCCTCTGACCCACTTTTTCCACTCTTTCCTCTCCTCCTCTCATCCTCTGACCCTCTTTTTACTCCTCTCTCTCCCCTTGTCTCTCTCTCCCCTCCTTACCCTCCCTCTTCCTCCCTGTCTAACCATGTCTATGTGTGTTGTGTCAGGAGCTGAACATGGAGGCGTTTGAGGAGCAGTTTAAGACCAAGGCCCAGGGTCCTCCAGCAGCTCTGTCCACTCTGAAAGTCAAGGTGGCCCAGAAGGCCCCCAGCAAGGTCAACCTGATCGAGGGCAACAAGGCCAAGAACCTGGCCATCACGCTACGCAAGGGAGGCAGGAGCCCCGCAGACATCTGCACAGCTATTGAGACGTATGGAACTCTATCTTCTACTATTCTGTTCCTTTCCTTAGTAAACATCTTTCTCACACATTTCATTTATGTTTTGTTTTCTTTAATCCCTTAATTCTCTTTCTCCTCATCCCACCTTCCCCTAACACTCTTCTTTTGTCCCTTCCTTATTGTCTTTCTTCTCTCTCTCCCTCCCTCCTTCTCTCCCTCCTCTCCAGGTATGACCAGCAGTCGTTAGGGCTTGACTTCCTGGAGCTGCTGGAGAGGTTTGTCCCGTCAGACTACGAGCTGAAGCTCCTCCAGAACTATGAGAAGGAGGGCCGTCCGCTGGATGAACTGTCAGAGGAGGACCGCTTCATGATGCGCTTTGGGAAGATCCCTCGTCTTGCCCAGCGAATCAGCACCCTCACCTTCATGGGCAACTTCCCAGAGAGCGTCAAACGTCTGCAGCCGGTAAGTCAGTTGCTCAGGCCATACAATGAAATTGTATCTGTACAACAATGACTTTCTTCTGAATCTGATACTATAGTCATTCATAATCTCACCTACAGCAACTGAACTCTATAATCGCAGCATCCATGTCCATTAAGTCCTCGGCCAAGCTGAAGAAGATGTTAGAGGTGAGTGGAGGGCTTCCCTGTCCATCACTGCTAACCTCCAATCAGAGAACCTCTTTAAACAGGCCTGCACTGTCTATGTAACACATTCTGTATCTGGCTCCTCCCCTCCAGATCATCCTAGCCTTTGGGAACTACATGAACAGCAGTAAGAGGGGTGCAGCCTATGGGTTCCGCCTGCAGAGTCTGGACCTGGTGAGTACCCCTCTGCTCTTGAGGCAAAATTGTTTCCCTTATTTAACATGAATAGAACCATAACTAAGATGGAGATTAACTGGCTTAATCTCTGTAACGATGAATAAGTCACTATTAGCTAAAGCCAGGTTTTGGACTGTTGAGGGCGCTATGGTATGTTGATAGGCAGGCCAGTCCGTCTTTGAGAGATGACTCCATCTGTCCCTCTCTTTTTCTCTGTCCTCTCAGCTGCTGGACACAAAGTCTACAGACCGCTCCCAGACACTACTACACTTCATCTCCAGCATCGTCCAGGAGAAATACCCTGAACTCAACAACTTCCACACTGAGCTGCACTTTGTGGACAAGGCTGGCCTAGGTGTGTGAATGCAATCAACGCTTGCACGCATGCACACACATGCATGCGCAAACACATTTACACACAGCTTTAAAAAATGCAGCCCTTCATAGTGCGAATAACTGACGCCCTGTTTCTCTCCTGTGTTTGTGTGTTTCAGTGTCTCTGGACAGTATTCTTCAGGATATCCGCTCTCTGGAGAGGGGAATGGAAGTGACGAAGAAGGAGTTCCTGGTGCAGGAAGACAACACAGTGCTGAAGGATTTTGTCAAGACAAACAGTGAATTACTGGACTCTTTACTCAAAGACAGCAAGACCGCTCAGGTTGGAATTCCATAACATTTGAACTTCATAGACACATCCAACACACATAATTCCACAGAAGATGTTCAATACCTATTTTATGATGTGTGATCTTCATCTCTCCTCCTCTTCCTCTCTCACGTCCACCACTAGGAGGCGTTTGGCTCGGCAGTGGAGTATTTTGGAGAGAACCCCAAGACCACGCAACCCTCCATGTTTTTCCCTCTGTTTGTCCGCTTCATGAAGGCCTATAAGGTGAGGTGGTGCCCCCATAATGAGGCTGCACAGAGGGAAAGGATAATGAAATAGCTCATTATATTTCACTTGTGTCTATCGTGGGTGCATTTTGTATTTATATGATGTTTGTTAAAGAGGCAGTGCAGTCAAAAACGTGATTTTCTTGTGCTTTATATATATTTTCCACACTATGAGGTTGGAATAATACTGTGAAATTGTGAAAATTATGATAATGAACTTTTAGTGTAAGAGCTGTTTGAAAAGACTGGCTGAAATTTCAGCTTGTTTGGCTGGGTGGGATTTTTGCACCACCTGGTAAGTTAACAGACCAATAACAAAGAAAGTTTGCCCTCCTCTCTGCCAATAGCAGCTGGTTTTCAGGTTACACATCCCTCCTATTAGGCTCCTTCAATTAAACACCTTACTCAGACCACTTCCAGACAGTCCTAGCAAAATTCTTGCTCGAGAAATAGCATTTTGCTAAGAAGTTATTTTTGTTTATTTTTACCTTTTTAATTGAAAACAATCACAGTAAGGTACTTAATTGTTGCCCAGAAATTATTTGCTATTGAGATAAAACGGCTGCATTGGACCTTTAATGACCTGTTTTTGTGTCTGTGTCCCACACAGCAAGCAGAGCAGGATAATGAACAGAGGAAGAGACTGGAGGCCCAGAGCAGTGAGAATCAAGCAGAGTCTCCCTCCCCTAGAAAGAAAGAGGCTGCAGGACACAAGGTATGACAATAGACTATAGACCGATGCCCCATACCAACTGAATCCACCACAATCTCTACATTCAATACAGTCAGTTAAAAAACTTCCCCTATGACTGCTCGACCAGTGACTGGTCATTCTAATGTGGTCCATACTATATATGCCAATGTGTCAGCTTTACCCTTTGACCCCTGCCAGTCTCCCATGATGCCCAAGATGGACCTGATAGCGGAGCTGAAGAAGAGGCAGGTGAAGCCCCAGGTGAAGGATGGGGCCCTGGAGGACATCATCACAGGTATGACAAACCACTATGGCTAGAATACATTATGCACTATAGTCTTATAAGTCATTATAGTTTATGATCTATAAAACATCAGAGTTAAGGACGCTTATAGTCAATGTCATAACACATTATAAGTGGGCTATAAGGCACTATAAATTACATGAATGATTAATATGTATGTAAATCATAAAGTGTTACCACACTTTTCACCAGTACATTCTGAGATAGATATCCCTTGCTAAGTTTCAGTGGTTGTGTCTATGTGCTTTGTCCCAGACCTGAGGAACTCACCGTTCAGAGCAACAGATGGACGGAGACCAGCACAGCGTCAAGACACCTGAACAACTCTAGCTCCAAGACCCACAATTCCACTGAGATGACTGTACACACGCAATATCAAAGTGTATGCATACACAGAACACAAATACATACTTGTACTGTACATACACAATACACATACATTAGTACTGGAGATGATGTTGCCTTTTACTTATCAATATACATTTAAACAACCATATGAATTTACTCTGTAAATAGAACACAGAGTTTAAGCTATACGTCATGAGCAAATGTGTAACATAGAAATACATCTATGCATTTTTAACCATTATCCAATTAGCTTTTTAAAATAACTATAATTTTTTGTTTTCTTCATCTTTTAATTAGTAAATTGTTTTAAATAAATAAAAAAAAGTTTCACATTACTGTATTACCCCAAATTCATGACTCAATTACTTGCTTACCCTAGAGTGGATCCGTGACCTGCCAAGCCATGCCATTAGAAAGACAATGGCCCTGTAATCATATCAGAGTGTTCACATTATGTCTGTACATGAAACAGCCTCCTAGCCCCAGGGAAGATGAACAGAGAAACCATTCCATACCCAGTTAACAATACTACAATGACACATCTGAGGGCCGCCGCTGGACATGTCGCAGGGCCGCCACCTACTGAGATAATACTTTATTGATCCCAAAAGGGAAAGAAGATTAACTTATTGTCTACGATAAAGCAAAACCCAGACTCCACGACTGTACAAGAGAGCTGCACTTTATTAGACACAGAACCACAGCAAGTATGTACAAAAGGAGGCAGGTTCAACTGCCAGTCTTCTCACAGAAAAAAAAATCACATTTCTCACAGAATATCATGGCATCCACACTGATAAATGAGTATCTCCAGTATCAGTAGGTATTTATATTTATATAGATCTATTTTCTGTATTGTTCATTATATCACACTACTCTACAAGTGGGAGATCGTAATTGGTGGGTTTTTCTGGTGAAGGTGCGTTGAAGCGTTCTGGATCGTTCTGGGTCGTTCTGAATTGTTGGGAACACTCCTCACTCTTAGCCATCATCACCATAGCATCACTGATCATGCCTGTGTCACAGAAAGATCCATAATAAAAAGGGTCTGGTTCTCTACCGCTGTAAACCTTTAAAGTGGTACACCTCTTTTTCTTTCTCGCTCTGTTTTTTAAGAAAACATGTAGACAACACTTTTCAACTGCACCGTGCGATTGCTTGACAATATACATGCATTGTTTTATAATATACCTTTGTATCCATCATCTTTTTATTATTAAAACATTATTTTGGACATAATATTTTGTTGAACTTTCTAGGAATTACTCGGTCTATTTACATATAATTATAATATAATTTTGTTTCGTTTTCTTCTAGATGCCAAGATTTTGGAACATCCACACATTCATGTAAAAACCTCATACAGTACTATACACACCACAGAAACCAGGTAAAACAATACACATATGTCTCTTTCATTTATTAAAAACATAACCAAACATGTCTCAATAGACAATGATTATGATGAAGAAGAAGAAAAAGCTAACGTTCCATATCTATCCGCGTTATGCGCTCTTGGCGGTCACTGAAACCTAAATGACTTATTCAATGCTGAGTCCCTTCTCTGTTAATAACTTTGGGCCATAATGATTTAATACCATCCTAAGTAAACCAACAGAAGTTCCAAAGAAAAGGCACGCCCCTAAGAACAGGTCTAGGAACTCTTACCCTTACCTCAAAAATGAATGTTAGCTAGTGGAGGCCTCGGAGTAGACATTGCACTGGACCAGCTCAGGGGCAACCTCTTCCTAAACATACCAGTAGTATAGGCCAGCAGGCCAACAAAAGAGGAAACTCACACAACTGTTGAAAATAATGTTCATAAAAATATCCCTGAATTAAAAATGAGCTCCACATACCTGTCCTACACAGATAAATATTTTCAAATCAATATAAAAATGTTCTGCTTATGAATAAATCATTTGCTGATGTGAAATACAGTATCTCTCTTGAATAATTAAAAAGGAAAGTCTGTACAAAATGCCTACTCATATAAATCCAAAAAGGAGGATGATTTAAATTGTACATTATAATAATTTAATCTAGGCCTATATATCACACTTTCTTCACAATTATATTAATATCATACACAAACATCTTAACGAAGATATATATTTATATATGTATAATTATTTTACTTTTCATTTCAAGTTTGCATGAATTATCTCTCTGATTGCCAGTGGCTTTCATTATGAGTGTCTCCACTCTCCACCATCCTTTCCTCATCCCCACCACCAATAAACCCCTCCAAGACTCTGCCATATTAAAATCTCCTGTCCAATAACACTAGTGTTACGGTGATTCAAAAAAGCATCGTCACGTAGTCTTGGGGTTTCATCAGGGACTTTCTTGTGTAAAAGCAGCGAAGTGTGAATACCTCCCTCCCTTCCTCCCCATCACCCTGCCAGACGCAAATGCAGCGCTGGGAGTTATGGATTTGAGTGTGGAGCTGCATGAGTAAGTTAATTTCTTTCATTAGGCTTCACTTTATAAAACCCAGGGCTTGAGTCCTGCATTGCTACAGTGCAGCCAGCATGAGGCTTGACTAACTCGCTGTGCCGTGAGCTTGCCGTTTTCTCGCTGACAGAACAGAGGGTGTGCTTATTGCAATGCCACGGCCACATTCTGACATACTCGTGTGTGTGTGTGTGTTTGTGTGTGTGTGTAGGCCAATATGTGGCCCTTTGTTCTGATCTTTACAGTAATGTGTTGTTGGAGCCACTGATCTGATTTGTGCCATCAAACCAAGGTTCCTCCGCCTGCAAAGACAAACGTGCACATGAGCTGTACTGCTATAAGCCTACAAGAACATGTCTTTGGTGGGTCTCTAACGAAACCAAAGACCCAGAGGGTTCATGCAGATAGGTCCACTCTGTGCTCTCATGGGGAAATTGCAACATCGATCATTTTGTGCAAATATAATAATACAGTACCATGTCACAAATACAGGCCCAATGGGAACCTTTTCCAAGAAGGGTTTGATTCATAGACACATCTCCCCCCAAGGACAGCCCAGATAGCAAGGTGCAAAAAATAATAGCCTTCTTAAACTCAAAAGGGTGTCAAACAGTGACCTCCAGATGAACCTGTCTTCCCAGCCCTTTGTTATTAAACCAAAAACAATCCTCCCACCTCAAGCTGTTTGCACTTGACACCAGCCCCTTTCACAAGCAATTGTTTTAATCTCAGTGCCATGAAGAATCGATTTCACGCACTTGTCTACCGAACAACTGAAGAATTAACTGAATGAACTGTGTACGACTACACACGGCCATAAACCCCCTAGGCCGCCTTGGTGACGCATCACAGAAGAAAGAGAGCTTCAGAGTGGTTGCTGGCGTAAGATTAACAGCAGGGAAACATTGACATGTCTTTGATGAAAGTCTGTTTTATCCTTATAACACTTCCAAGCTCTTAAGTCAGCTGTGAGGAATGGAGCCGGTGATATTTTCGTAAGCACTCCGGTTTTAAGGGAGAACACTCATATACCCTGGATCTGCCTTCGTTATATTACATGAACCAAATTATTCTCCATAACATCTATCACACAGAAAAAAGCAGCCATTTCCAGTGGCAACCTTACTATTGCACAACCAACAGCTGTGGGCTAAGCCAGCTTCTCTGTCAGGGGAGGTCCAGATAAACTTATTGTGGGTTTTAGCTAGAGCAAATATTGAAAATACACACAAGCCAAAATGAAACTCATTGTGCAGCATGTCTTGTAAATAATCAGAGGGGAGCTCCACCAGCTGGTCCATATCTCTGGTCCCTTTCAGAAGAGAATTCATTTGTGCTCTTGTTTCTCTCTCTAATGTTCTGTGCCTTTTAACCATTCAAATCAAATACTACCAAAAAGACTGCATTATCAAAACGGTATGGGTTAATTCATGATCAGTGGTTCTACAGTCATGAAATAAAGAAATGGCCAATCTAGTCAATAGTTATGACTCAATACAACTGGAGACTGTGATTTCCATAAACAGTTAGGTGGATCTCCGTCTCACTGGCGTGTTGGAGAGTGTGCATGCATCTATTGCTATATGCCTGTGCCTGGTCACATGAGTGTGTGTTGAGTAAGGAGTGTAAACACTGCAGCAGGGAACGCCAGTCCAAGGCAAAACCCTTCAACTATGGATACGTCCTGATTGTCATACATCATTCATGTCTACTCATTCTACATTCTTTAATGATCCCTTTCAATGTTTTGATTTATTTTTGTTTTCCTTTGTTCCCTTCTTCATGTACCAGCTCAGTCGTTAAATAATTGATCTACTGTAATATCACATTACTGTTCCTATAAAATTGATAAAATTGTGTGCAGACTCTCAAATCAGAGGATTTCAACAAAAGCAGCTCCCTGGCTTTTTCTTCCATTGCCAAACTGCTGTGTTAATAGTGAACGAGGGGAAGAATGGAATCAGATACTGGAGAGAAGAGGCCTTAAGCCACTCCAGGGATATAGTATTGGATATACAGTGGAATGTACAGTCACATTGAATGGGAGCCGTTTCATTCATGTAAGCTCTTTACAAAACAGGGACAACTATAGCACCAGTTTAGACTTCTCCACAGGTGATGAAATAAGTCTGAAATAAAGAAAGGAACAAACAGAAAACTGTCCCAGAATGGAAACCACCACCTTGGTTTAGCTTCGTTTTTCTCCACAGATTCACATTCTGCCAGGTGATGGAATAAGACTGCTATAACTCTGAACACACACGACTACTGTACTGTACTCGTTGATTATTGCAACTCTACTCTGTATAATATAAGTCACAGTCTAGATATTACATCTACTCCACTAAGGTTCCATCCAGTAAGATTTGGCAAATGGTGCGATGATGGACTGAGGGTTCATAAAGGACTGGCACTGTTTTTCTGTCCACCCAGACCAGATCAGACCGGACCAGACAAGGCAGTGGGAGGGAGAGAAGGCCAAGGCCCATCTTTGAGCTCTCTCTCTGGGGGTCTGGGGAACTGTCAGTACTACTGAGTGGGAGAGCCACAGAGGAACCACCAGACTGTCCAAGGAGGAGTGCAGTGCACCTCCACTTAATGTCTCATCAACTCTTGTACTGTATAATTAGAGATATGTGAAGATTCTGGCTGCTGGACTGAGACCAAGAGCAGCAAAGTGACACTCAGAAAGTAAACTCTGAGAAATACCTACAGATATTCTGGGGAACTCCCCACTGATATGTTTTGCTGCATCTAACTCTTGGCATTGAGGGCTACCGTAGAGGGCGGGGCCAGTTTGCTTGTTTTGCTCTTCAGTTTTGGCATGTGATGGTGCTCCTCCTCTTTCTCATCCATCCTCTTGTACTTCACTGTGAGTTGCTAGGGGAGACAGGCTTGGGCAGGGTCTTGCTGCCACGCTCCTTGTAGCTGTTGGAGCCAGAGTACTGCAGGCTGCGGCCACCAGGTTTGAGCCCCAGGGAGGAGAGGTTGAGGGAGGTCAGGGGGGTCGGGGAGGAGGGCGAGGGGGTGGGGGTGGGGGTGGTGGAGGTGGGGGAGGTGGAGGAGGAGGAAGAGGAGGTGGTGGTTGAGGTGGTGGTGGAGTTGGAGGAGCGGCCGTTGGGCAGGGGCAGGGAGGAGGCGCGCTGCTGCTCACGGAGGAGGCGGTGTTGGCGGAAGGTGGAGGAGAGGAGCAGGGCCTCGGCGCTCAGGCTGGAGGCTGACAGGCTGGCCAGCAGGGCTTTGGCCTGGCTGGAGGAGGCTGTCAGGGAAGACAGCGCCCCCTCCTGGGGATACTTCCTTAGACCCGGGGCGAACACAGCCGAGGCCGAACTGGAGGAGGGCAGGCGGCCGGAGAAACTGTCAGCTTTGGTGCCTGACAGGAGGGGCTTAATACTGCTGCTGCTGTTCCCAAGGGCCTATGGGTCAGACCCAGGTACAGACCAGGAACAGGAGGTGGAACATGGAGAATTGGGGAAAATTGGAAATGTTTCAGGGGGGAAAAGATAAATGAAAAAAGAGAGAACAGTCATATAGTTGGTAGTGGTCCCCGACAGCACCCTTCCATTCACACAGACATGCACATTCACAAACAGAACACACACAGGGTAGATATCCTGTGCATTGTGTGGTCAATGTAGGATGTGAGAGGGTACAGGAGTCAGAGACTCTGCCAATACCCATGTTAAGCCAACAGAGGGGAGGGGGGCTTAAGGGGGTGGACTAGGAGTAGCAGGGGATGGGGTGGGGGGTCAGATGCAGCTCTGTAGTCAGGTGGTTGGTGATGAGGAGGAGGCTGGAGAGCACAGGCACAGGGCACAGGCTGGTCCCTCACTCACTGTGCAGGGTCAGAGGTCACAGAGGAGCAGGTGGAGGGGCAGGCCGGGTGGCACAGGGTGGCCCAGGAGGATCACACAGGTGACAGGGTGGTGGGTGAGGTGGTGGTGGCGCCCCAGGAACAGGTGGTGTAGAGAGACACAGGCAGGGTGGGGTGAGAGGTGGGGGGTGAGGGAGGAGGGGTGAGATGAGAACAAGAGACAAACACAGGAAATTCAGGTTAGTATCAGCAGATGTTGATGCTAGCCAAGAGTGCCAACTACACAGAATGGGGGTTAAAAACCGACAATACATATCTTTCTTGTGTTATGATACCAACAGTCTGAAGTGAAAATGTAACAGAAGTGTACAGGGGTTACACTGCTGTTGTCCGTTACTGTTTTGACTGTTTTTTTAATGGACGTCTGAGTCATTAAAAATGCAAAACATGTTAAATGAACAGCATCACACACATTCCCCTTTGTGTGATGCTGGAGTACACCAGTACATGGCGCTGTGTTGGCAGTGAGACATTGTGGTAACACTGTGGACATTATACAGTATATGGGGTGTATTCTCTGTAAATGCAGTCTGCCAGCAGCCAGTCTCTCTCATAGAGGAAGGCTGGAGGCATGTGGCAGACCCAGTGGCAGTGCCAGGGCATGGGCAGAAGACAGGCAGTGCCAAACGCTACCAGATCTATGCCAGAGCACGAATGTGTGAGGGTCCCCTACTCTGTGATCAGTCCTACATCAGTGCCACTGGATGATGACACCTGTCTAGACATCTGTGCTTGTGGCTGGGGGATGAGAGGTGTAACGTGAAGGAAGAGTCTGATGTAACCATCCCAGACACTGGGAGAGAGCAATAACTTTGCATACCAGGTTTTATATCAAAGGTCATTGTTTATTTAGAGGTGACTTTGACTACAACGATCAAATAGACTAACTTAAATTCTATCCACGATAGCAAATCATTTGCTCTTGAATAACATACAGAAAGTATGGCGAAAGTTCTCCTCCACAATGTTCCAAAAAAAGGCCATCCACTATTTCTGAGAGAGGTTTCTACTCTGCCCTGCATGTTGAGTGGTTGGAGGGTGTTAGTGTGGGGATTGAGGGGTTTCGTTCTGTGTGGTTGGTTGGACAGCAGGTGCGTGTTGTGTGGCCTCTGAGGCTTTAACCTACTCTGTTGGCTGGTGCTCCAGTACCTCTGGTGCTGTTCCTTCTGCCTGAGGACACCCTCACTCTCTCCTCTCTCTCAAGCCTGGCTACCGCAACATTTATTCCGGTCTGTTAGTGCGGTAAAATTGCATCCTCTCATCTCCGGAAGCTCAGAGCTGCCTGCCAAAAGACTGTCTTGTGGGACTGGCCTTTACTACCCCCCCCCCCCCCCCCCCCCCCCGGAGCGAAATGGTGGCTTTGAACTGTCTGGTCTTATAACAGCTCAGTGATTTAAAAAATCCTCTCACGCCTGGAACGCTCTGACGGGATGTCTCCTGGTACTGTAGCAGTGCCAAACAACAAGCGCAGGCACAACAGCAATGAGTATCATCTCACAATGCCCTGTTCAGTCTCACACACACACACACACACACACACACACACACACACACACACACACACACACACACAGAGAAAACACATAGTACAGACAGATAACACAAATATGAAATCTTTCCCACCACCAATAACATCTATTCATAACACCACTGAGGATATAAGCAGAAAAGAGACAAAAAGAGAAAGATAGGAATATGAAAGGAGAGAGTGATGGCCGGAGAGAGAGAGGGTCAATGTAAGAGTTTGGGGTCAGGAGTCATCTCTGGGGAGGGGAGAAGAGAAGAGACCTCTTTACCTTCAGCTGTGTCTTCAGTAGAGAGGACACCCACGGTGGGCATGTCTGGGTGGGTGTCAGTCAAAACAACAGCATCAGTAGGGAGTGGGGCAACTAACTTAGAACTCTATGGGAGTGGGGAAACTAACTTACAACTCTATGGGAGTGGGGAAACTAACTTACAACTCTATGGGAGTGGGGAAACTAGTGGGGCACCTTAAAACTCTGTGGGTCAACTAACATGGTTGGTGGATAGGCACCTGGCTGGCACAGTAGCCTGGGCAGTATAGTATAGGAGGGTATCTGACAGTTTTGAGGTGTTGTAACGAGAGAAGACAGACATCCATGGCATGTGCTGCCCATACAAACAGCCTGCTGTCAGTCATTGAGTAGTGGGGAGATTGACTTCTGCGATTGAAGCCATATGGTGATTCAAAATGCTCTGAAATGGGTTTAGTAATGTCTTAGTTACTGTTATTGTTGGCGCTATCCTAACTGATGGCTTGGTGCTGACTCGGATGGAGATTGTTTTGAGCGTCTTTCCTTCTTTGGACGAGGGGATAGTTTTTTCACACAGCCTCTTTTCAGTGTAATTGTTTGCAACAGTCTGCGGACAAAGGGGGCGCGCTGAGATCCTGTCTCCTCATTCTGAAATAATGGGATTCATTTTCCTCTCAGCGGGCTAGAAGGAGGCCACTCCACACCTACAGCTTTCCAAACACACACAGAGTGGAAGTAGAGGGAGGGAACGAGAGGCACACAGGGGGAGAGAGAGAGAAAGATAGAGGTGGGAAAAGAGAGACAGCAAAATTGAGAGAACAAGAAATAAAAGGGATGAAAACAATGAAGGAATAAAATGAAGGAAGAGAGAGAAAGCGAGCGAGAGCTGAAGGGAGCACACTGAGGGGAAGCACTGTGCGCTTCATATTGAATAATCAGTGATTACACTGACACAACTGGGTACTGATTAGCCTCAGCCTACACTGGGAGACAAGGGAATTAGAGACATTCCTCCCATGCTTACCTATATAGCTACTAGGCAGCACAGTCTCACAACTCTCTCTCTATATATATTATATATACATGGATCTCTCTTTGTCTCTGTCTGTCTCTCTCTCTCTCTCTCTCTCTCTCTCTCTCTCTCTCTCTCTCTCTCTCTCTCTCTCTCTCTCTCAATTCAATGGGCTTTATTGGCCTCTCTCTCTCTCTCTCTCTCTCTCTCTCTCGCTCTCTCTCTCTCTCTCTCTCTCAATTCAATTCAAAGGGCTTTATTGGCCTCTCTCTCTCTCTCTCTCTCTCTCTCTCTCTCTCTCTCTCTCTCGCTCTCTTGATCCAATCGAATGGCTCCTTCTCTGAATTCCATATCAAAGTATTTTTAGCGCAGAGAGGGGGTTTAGGTGCACTTCAGTGCTCCTGTATTTTTCAAATAACATTGACATTAAAGCTTACTTCATTGACATGACTCCTGGCAGAACTAGAGAAGAAAGTTCTCTCTCAGCTTGACTTTGTTCTGACACGCCTGAATAGTTCAATTTCCCCGTCTCCCCTGGGCCCCCTTGCATCTCTAACTTATAACCCAACATGCTTCAAAACCTTCAGGTCCCTAGTGCACTACACTATCTATTTTGTACACTATCTATATCCCCTTTACCAAACAGGACCCTAGTAGTAGTATTGGCTCTGGCTAATCCATAGACGGTCTATGGATTAAGAAGCTGCACCAAGATATGTAGGTACACCGCCAATACAACAGTGGAATAAGCTACCTTGTGCAGGGGTATCGTCTCAGTGGGAGTGTGACCAGAAGGTAGGGTATGGGGTCAGTTAGGTAGGGGGATGATCAGTCTGACTAGAATACAGTACCTGCTGTTGGCCCTTGAGGAAGTCCTCCCTCTTGCCAGTTTTGGTCTTCTCTGTGCTGCTCTGCTGCAGGTGCTTCAGTCTGGAGGCAGCCGAGGAGTGGACTTTACCCACAGCTGAAGAGCTGTTCCCTCCCTGGAGAAGGAGAGAAGGAGAGGAGGGCATGGGGGAATAGACAAAAGAAGAGGAAGAGGAGAGAAGGGGAGAGATGGGGAGAGATGGGGAGAGATGGGGAGAGAAGGGGAGAGATGGGAAGAGATGGGGAGAGATGGGGAGAGAAGGGGAGAGATGGGGAGAAATGGGAAGAGATGGGGCGAGAAGGGGAGAGAAGGGGAGAGATGGGGAGAAATGGGAGTATGAGTGTCACAGAACACCAACAGATTGACATTTCATTCCTTTTAATCAGACATATACCAACTCAATAGAAGCGCTCACCCAGTAAGCCCGCAGGCTGCTGAAAGCCCTAAGATCGCTGATATACCTCCCTATCATCCACCCCACTGACTTTCACTATATCACTATATCACTACACACAGGCTGCAGCGCTACAGAAGATCTGACAAACAGGAGAATATGGAAATGTACAATTCAAAGTGGTGTTGCGTAGCGTGGCTGCACCAGGGGCTTCATCATATGATGTCGTCGGCTCAATCATTTTCTCTACCTCTAATATGCAAAAAGAAAATACGCACTCACTCACCAACACAGGCACGCACATCCTATCTACTCCCCAACCCCCTCCACACATGCACATTAGCTAAGAGGAAAGGCACTGCATATGATTACAGGAGACAGAGTGCCCAGTATGGTATGCTAATATAAGTCATTCACGGGTAGAGTAGGGAACCTGGATGAAGGATCTGATTGGCCTAATGAGACCCAGTTAAAGGCAGTGGTGGTTACAGTAATGAGGGTGATGCAACAAGGCGTGAAAACGCTGCAACTCCACACCAACCCCATGCCAAGCCCATGCCAAGCCCACGGGACCTGTTTCTCCAGTTGAATGGCAAGGAGAAGAAATGGTCCCTGACAGCCAGACCTACTGCAGCTTGCACTCATGGATGGAGTTGGAGTGGGTGTGAGTTTATCTACACACGGAGACAACATGGTGGTCCGTGCTACACTCTACCTCTTCACCTGTCGGTCTCTAACTCTCTATCTATCATCATTATTCATTTTGGGAGCTTTACAAAGTATCTTGACCTAAAGGTGACGTGACAAACTCAGACTCCCAGCATGCAATGAGCCCTCTGAGGTCTGGTCTGCCCTATGCTAATGAATTACTATGGGATAATGAGAACAACAGTTTGTGTCTGTATTCAGTTTCAGACCAATTTGGAAACCAAGTCTCAACATTTAGTTCGTCGATAAGCCTAAAGACTGTTCAAGGTAAAGCTGGAATAGTTGATGATGCAGGTATCTGGTCATTGATTACAGAGACGAGAGAAGCAGCAAAGTACAATGAGAAGACAAGACAAAGATGTGAAGAGAGGGGGGAAATAAAGAGGGGAGCGAAAGAGAAATGACAGTTTATTGCAGCAGAGATTGGACTTGGCCCTGGTTTACAGAGTAGAAACAGAAGAACAATAAAAAGACAATTAACAGCCCCTCTCCAAGAGGACAGTAGCCCCAATTACTAATCACAGTACAGAGAAGGAGAGCATCTGTTGCGGGCCCCTTTGAGTTGAACTGATTAAAGATTTAAAGCCTTCAGCATTTAAAGCATTCTGTTTGGACGGCCAAAATCTACCAGTTTTCACAGGGAGCAGACAACAGATTATATCTATGTGGGAATTGGCAGGTAGAGAGGTTCAATGGAGGTGTGAGGTATAACTCCATGTGAGGTTGGTACGTTATGTGCAGTCAGATAGGAGTGAACAGGAGGAAGACAAGATGACGCTTCAGCAGAAACTGCAACCCGAACTCTTAAAGCCAAAAAGAGAGATGAGGATAGAGAGAAGTGGGTGCATGCCCTCCAAAGAGCAGAGTCTATGCAGGGGTGCATGTTATAGACCTTGGTCATCATGGAAGGAGTGAAGGAGGGTTTGGGCTTGGGTGGGACTGGGGGCTTCTTGGTCTCTGTGGTGCTGGTGCCAGGCATCTGGGCTGGGTCTGGAGCCTCTGACAGGGCGGTGTCAGTGGGGAGTGTGGTGGGGTGGCCACTGAGCTCCAGCAGGGTGTTTTCCAGCTCGCGGATGGTCTCCTCCAGGTTGTCCAGCCTCCTGTAGGTGCTGCTCCTGATGTCTTGTCCCCGCTTACAGGGGTTCTGTCCCTGTCCTTCCCTGGCCTGGCTCTCCTCAAAACCTGCAGACCCATTGGGGTTCACTGCTGCTTCTGCAGAGTCCTGACTTGGCTCCGGAAGGGTGGCTAGAATGCTCTCTGTTCCACTGCTGTGAGGTAGTGTCAGGTTCCTGTCGCCTGTTTCCACCCCTCTCCTCAGAGCCTCTCTCAGAGAGACCTGCTGCTCAGGGGAGAGAGTTATCCTGGAACCCAGGGGACTGGGGCTGCTGCTCAGGCTGCTGTGAGAAGGTCCTGCTCTGGGCTTGGGGACCGCCTTGGATGACCCTGTGTCCTCCACCCTGCCCAGCAGTAACTGCAGCTGCCTGTAGGCCTCTCTGACCGTCACAGTCTCCCTGAAGAGTACCAGTAGTGGAGCCCCACACAGACGGGCTTCAGTGGTTCCCTCTGAAGGCTGAGTTGGGATGGTGAGTGTCTGTAAAGCCTCTCCCATGGTCCTGCTGAGCTCCTGGGCCTGCGAGGGTGACATCACTCTCACCTCCAGCTCAGTCAGTACCAAGGACAGCTCCTCTCTCTCCTCCCTCTCTTCCTCCTTCTCAAAGGACTCCTGGATTCTCAGCTCCCCCCGCCGAGAGGGCTTCCTCTGGGCCTGGCTGACAGGATCCTTCCTTTTAGAGACCTGGATCTGGGGGACTGCCTGGGGAGGAGCAGTCTGGCTCTGGGACTGGTCCACTGTCAGGGACATCTGATGGTCCTGTGTCAATTCTCTGACAAAGCCTTCTGAGGGAGAGAGTGGAACTGACATGCACTCTGTCAACACAATCCGGGGGACTGGAGAGAAGGACGGACCAGGAAGGGCCATGCTCTGTGCATGTAAAACAAAATGGGTGAATAGAAGTAATATTCCAACATACTTTCAATAAGATAAAATATGATTATTTTCTAAACAGTGTAATGGTAATTGACTGGTTATAAAATACTTCTTATTAGGGCACTAACCTGTGAGTGTGATGCCAGTATGCTGGAAGTGTATTCTGAGCTGCCCTGCTTCCACTGTAGGCCAGAGCAGTCCAACGATACTCTAGACAGCTGGTAGACACAGTGTAGAGTTTCACAACTGTTCACACACACACACACGCACTCACACACACTTGCACGCTCTCACACACACCCACATGCACTTCAGAGCACTGCAATCAACACAGAGAGTCACTAGTCACAGGAGTGTTTGTGTGTATCTGTGAGTGATCACTCCATCAGTTCGTGAGTGTGTGTTGGTACAGGATGTGTGAGGGGAGGGCAGTTGTAGAGATGGTGTTGTCTGGAGACAGTGTGTTTAGGGGTGTGTTCTGGTAGTGTAGAACAGGGGGAGTGCTGGACCAAGGGGCTGCATTTAAAACAATAGTACAAACCCGTTTACTTTCCCTACAACACCAAGATGAATAGGTTCAGTGTACAGTCTGTGTGCTGGTGAGCAGCTGTTGTGTGTGACAGGAGAACATGTGGAGAGCACTCTGCAGGTAGAGACAAAGGTGAGGATGGGACTGTGTACTCTGGGAGGGGGGTAGAGATCAGGGATGGAACATGGGAGTGTGTGTTTGAGGGAGGGGGTAGAGTGGTGGAAGTGTTAGTTCGAGGAGGGCAAGGAGGAAGGTGAGGGCAGTCTCAGGAAGCTGCAGTCCACACAAGCCCTCGCGAGGTCAGGGAGGGCGTTACCTTGGTGCACTGTGCAACTGGGGGCCATAGGTTGAGGCTGGAGGGGGGCACGCTGGTCCTGCTGCGGGGCGCACTGGGCGGGGACAGGGGAGGGGTGTGGCTGAGCCTGAGGGGGGCTCTCTGAAACAGCTGGCCAGGGGAAGTGTAGGAGGGAGGGGAGGGGCGTAGTTGAAATAATGTAAATAATTGTTAAATTAGGATAAGTCATCCATAATATCAAGATAAGTGATTATAACTGGTCTATCTAAAATTACAGTAAAAAATAAAAAATAATCTGTCCAATTTATTGTTTCACTGTGGCCAGCAGGGCATCAGAAAAACAAACACACAATCCAACGCTCCATTTTGTCCATGTGGCCAGGCTGGGTTGGTCTGTGAGCTCTGGGTGACACACTGTGTGTGTGTGTGACTAAGCTGTGTGATCTGCAGTAATCTGGGCCCACAGTGACTGGAGCTCTCTGTCCCAGTGAGGAGGCCTGGGGTGTGGAGGACATATGGCACCTGCTGCTTTGGCCTGACCATCCACTCTAACACACCAAGCAGCCAGCTAATGAGGCATGTGTGTGTGTGTGTGTGTGTGTGTGTGTGTGTGTGTGTGTGTGTGTGTGTGTGTGTGTGTGTGTGTGTGTGTGTGTGTGTGTGTGTGTGTGTGTGTGTGTGTGTGTATGGGCATGTGTAGCTACAAGCTCTAGGGAAAATTAGGGAAGCGGAGGAAGTGTCGTTTTTCAGTAACATTACCCATTCCCTGCACCCTTACCTAACATCCTTCAGAGACCACTTATAATAATACTATATAAACTCTGCTAACACTATTAATACACTATTTCTGAAGCTGGTATACCAGTACCTCCAGTTCAGCAGTGATCTTGTCCTCCTCTCCCTCCTCCTTGTCTCCAGAGGCGATGGTGGGAGGGGTGGACGCAGGACGGGGGTTTTCAGACACTGTCCGTCGTAGCTGCACATGGGGCTTCTGTGTTTCTGCCTCCTCTGCCTCCGACTTTCCCACACATACATAGAGGAGATCAGAAACTAGGCAGGAGGTGTGTGTATGTGTGTTTGTGTGTGTGTGTGCGTGTCTGTGTGTGTTTGTGTGAATATACAGTGCCTTGCAAAAGTATTCATCCCCCTTGCCGTTGTTCCTATTTTGTTGCATTACAACTTGTAATTTAAATAGATTTTTATTTGGATTTCATGTAATGGACATACACAAAATAGTCCAAATTGGTGAAGTGAAATTAAATAAATAACTTGTTTCAAAAAATTCAAAAACATAAATAACAGAAAAGTGGTGCGTGCATATGTATTCACCCCCTTTGCTATGAAACCCCTAAATAAGATCTGGTGCAACCAATTACCTTCAGAAGTCACATAATTAGTTAAATAAAGTCCACCTGTGTGCAATCTAAGTGTCACATGATCTGTCACATGATCTCAGTATATATACACCTGTTCTGAAAGGCCCCAGAATCTGCAACACCACTAAGCAAGGGGCACCACCAAGCAAGCGGCACCATGAAGACCAAGGAGCTCTCCAAACAGGTCAGGGACAAAGTTGTGGAGAAGTACAGATCAGGGTTGGGTTATAAAAAATATACGAAACCTTGAACATCCCACGGAGCACCATTCAATTATTATTAAAAAATTGAAAGAATATGGCACCACAACAAACCTGCCAAGAGAGGGCCGCCCACCAAAACTCACAGACCAGGCATGGAGGGCATTAATCAGAGAGGCAACAAAGAGACCAAAGATAACCCTGAAGGAGCTGCAAAGCTCCACAGCGGAGATTGGAGTATCTGTCCATAGGACCACATTAAGCCGTACACTCCACAGAGCTGGGCTTTACGGAAGAGTGGCCAGAAAAAAGCCATTGCTTAAAGAGAAAAATAAGCAAACACATTTGGTGTTCGCCAAAAGGCATGTGGGAGACTCCCCAAACATATGGAAGAAGGTACTCTGGTCAGATGAGACTAAAATTGAGCTTTTTGGCCATCAAGGAAAACGCTATGTCTGGCGCAAACCCAACACCTCTCATCACCCCGAGAACACAATCCCCACAGGGGGGAGACTGGGAGGGGGGGGGGGGGGGGGGGGGGGGGTGAATAGTTATGCACACTCAAGTTTATTTATTTTTTGGTCTCATTTCTTGTTTGTTTCACAAGAAAAAATATTTGGCATCTTCAAAGTGGTAGGCATGTTGTGTAAATCAAATGATACAAACCCCCAAAAAATCCATTTTAATTCCAGGTTGTAAGACAACAAAATAGGAAAAATGCCAAGGGGGGTGAATACTTTCGCAAGCCACTGTACATCCATGCCTCATGCTCTGTCACCTTAATGCTCTTGCCGGGGATAAGGGTCTCTCCGCTGCGGGTGGTCAGGCCAGACGGGGATGATGGGAAGCTGCGTCGAGGTGGCGGGGGAGGGGGCGACTTCGAGGGCTTCTCTGTGCGATACCGAGTCACCGTCAGCTGCTCTACATCTGTGGCAGGGAGGGCAGTACCATGGGCACCCGTTAGAGAACAGGACAAAGTACATTCACAGCCAACACTAACACATTCATGAGCTGAGTATGTGACAAAACACTGCTGCCCATCAGTACATCAAAAACCCCAACGCTCTACTGTTACCTCTGTTGGGTAAGGGGAGGTCTGATCAATCCTTACCAGAGCCACGTCTGGAGCCAGGCTCCTTCCCCGAGAGCTTGTGTGTAGCATGCTGGGGCTTGGTAGGGCGGTGCTCTGGGGTCCCTCCCCCGCTCTGGGGGGTCTGAGACTGGGAGGGTGTGTTGGAGGAGGGCTTGTTGATCTGCTTGGCAGCAAAGTCCAGGTCTGGGATGGCCTTCATCAGCTCAGCCTGGGTCTCCTCCAGCAGACGGTTGATGTCTTGAGCACTGTACTGGGTCAGACTGGCCCGCTTCTCCTCCCAGTCCCGCTCTGCTGCCTGGAACCATAGAGAAAGATATCACAGTGAGTGATACTGTATATGCACGCAGACACAGACACACACTCACTCATACACATGTGCAGACATCCACACTTGTAGACTCACTCATGCCTACTCTCACTCACCTCCAACACCCATATATACTGTATCATCATACCAATGCCACACTCAGAAAACTACAGATTAAAGACTAGAATGGAGTAACAGAAGGGTTCCTTACCAGTCGAACCTCCACAGACACAGCCTTATCAGCAGCAGCGCGGTTGGCCAGCTCTTCCAGGGCCCGACCCTTGTGAGGCACAGGGGGGTGGTTGTCCCTGTGGGGGCCAGAGGAGGGGTTGCTGTGCCCATGGCCATGACTTTGACTATGGCTGTGGCTGGAATGGGGGCACCAGTTTGACAGGCTGCTGCCGCCCCTCAGGTCACTGAGGTTGAGAGGGGGGCTGGTGGGCATGTCAAAGTCGGAACTCTTACGGAAGTCCTCACCGCTGTGCTTGGGGAAGTCCTCCTGCTTCTTCCATATGCCCTCATTCACTTGCCTGACCACACAAATACAGCCAATGTCAGGCGATGCCAGTAATGTCTGTATATCGGCTATTATGTGTTTAGTGGTGTTGTGCTGTGGCTAGACAATGCAGGCTCTGAGTTACACTTCGTACCTGTGATGTTGGATCAGTGTTGATGTATCAATGATGGTCAGTGTGTGGTGGGCCGTAGCCTACCAGCGCATGGTGGTCACTGGTCAGTGTGTTGGGTTGCACCTGTGTATGGTGGTCAGTGTGTTGGGTCGTACCTGAGCATAGTGGTCAGTGTGTTGGGTCGTACCTGTGCATGGTGGTCAGTGTGTTGGGTCGTACCTGTGCATGGTGGTCAGTGTGTTGGGTCGTACCTGTGCATGGTGGTCAGTGTGTTGGGTCGTACCTCAGCATAGTGGTCAGTGTGTTGGGTCGTACCTGCGCATGGTAGTCAGTGTGTTGGGTCGTACCTGAGCATAGTGGTCAGTGTGTTGGGTCGTACCTGTGCATGGTGGTCAGTGTGTTGGGTCATACCTGCGCATGGTGGTCAGTGTGTTGGGTCGTACCTGCGCATGGTGGTCAGTGTGTTGGGTCGTACCTGCGCATGGTGGTCAGTGTGTTGGGTCGTACCTGCGCATGGTGGTCAGTGTGTCAGTGACGCTCTTGCAGCGTTTCAGCAGGGCGTCCAGTCTGTGTGGCTCCTCCTTCAGGAACTTGACGGCCTCCACCTCCACCCTCAACACCACCCGCATCTTACTCTGCAGACTGGGGAACTGGTCTGGAGGGGGACAGGGAGAGAGAGGTGACGCTACATATTATCATCTCAGGAGTCACAATGGGAGTCTGATTTCTGAGAGTGGTGATTGTGATATCTGGATGTTTGAGACTGATGTGTGTCTGTGATTGACTATCTGAGAGTGATTGACAGCAAGTCAGTGCCTACAGTGTGTCTGTGAGTGATGAGTGTATCAGACCCACAGGAGGTTGGTGGCACATTTAATTGGGGAGAACGGGCTCATGGTAATGGCTGGAGCGGAATTAGTGGAATGGTATCAAATACATCATACACGTGGTTTCCAGGTGTTTGATGTCATTCTATTTACTCCGTTCCGGCCATTATTATGAGCCGTCCTCCCCTCAGCAGCCTCCTGTGATCAGACCCTGTCAATGTGTCTGTGAGTGATCAGTGTATCAGACCGTGTCGGTGTGTCTGTGAGTGATCAGTGTATCAGACTGAATCTGTGAGTGACTCACTCTTGAGCTCTGTGAGTGTCTCTCCTAGTTTCCTCAGCAGCGAGGCCTTCTCCTCCAGCTCCTGAACCGTCACCAGCTTGTGATTGACAGCTGAACCCTTCTGGATGTCCTCCACTGACTTCTCCAGGTCACTGGACAGACAACACAGGAGAGACGTGTTAACACAAGACCTTCACAGTTAACATGAAAACGTTCATGTTATGAAGACTGTAATGTTCTACTGTGAATTACCATACAACTGTGGCGTGTGAGGAGGTGAGAGAACCACAAGGGCGATGGAGAGACATACACACAGACTGGACACACACACGTACACATGAACGTGGAACACACACACACACACACACATACACAAGCTGACGAAGCAAAACTACTAATGAAAACCCAACTTAATGATGTCAAATAAATCAGCCTGAAGCCATATGGCCAATCAAAATGGTATGAATAATTAAATGAAATAAAATGGCTATTAGCAACGGTTAATAATAAGCCTAGATTAACAGCGATGTTCTAACGAGGCGAATGATTTATTCAACAATGTCCACTCGTATAAAGTTACACACTCTTTGCTAAACCAGACAGTGTCTGGGAACCGGGGATGTTTTCCAGCTGTTGTAATGCATGGGCATTGTTTCTGTTACCAGTAGGACTGCCTTAGTACAACCATATTAATCATAGGACCTCTTTAGAACCTCAATTATCTTACTGATGTTTATTTTTAATTTTTTAATCATGTGAATAGATTTTGTCAATCAATCAGTCAGTCAGGTCTATCAGTTAATCAATCAATCAGTTAACCAGTCATTCAATAAACGTAATTAAGTGAGTACTGACTGGAGTTGCTGGATGATAAGCTCCTCCTCGTTGAGGTACTTGAGTCTCTCCTCTTCCACCAGGAGGCGCTGTCTCTGCAGAGGGTCCTCCTGTTTCCTCAGAGCGTCACTCACACGCACGTTCAGCTCCTTCTCCGTTCTTTTCAGCAGCGTCTTCACACTATCCTGGTTCTGGAGCTGCAGACACACACACAGACAGACCGACAGACAATACTGAATGGTTAGACAAGATTAAATTGTGTAACTAATAGTGGTCTGAATGATATGAATGATTTGTAGCAGAAATCAGTGTAACCAAATTGGTAATAGAGGTTACAGGTGTCTGAGGTCATACAGGTCATCATTAATGTATAGAATTTGGTATCACACACCTAAGGTGGTCCTGCCCAGATCAAAAACATTCCTGCAATTCTATACATTTTTCAATGGAGCTGACAGAACATTTTGCAGTGTGAAAGCTAATTTCCTGCATTTCTACCATGGCTGATTCAGTGTTCTTATGCTCAAACATTATAACAAAATCAATGGGAACCCCAATCGGGGCCCCTGGGCATGTGTCCTGCGTGTCCGGTCTGTAATCTAGCCATGCAAAAACGACTCCTACGACATTGTTTTATTTTTTTTGGTTTCATTGCTTTAGCTTTTATTTTGGAGATTTCTAGTTCTAAAAGATTATATTATTCAAAAATATATAAGTCAATTATTAATGTTGTTCTTCATCCCGAAAATGTATTTTAAAAAATACATTTAAAAAATGTGGTGTGGCGGCAACAATTTTGCAGTGGCGGTGCGCTGCTGCTAAATATATATACATGGGAAACACTGGTGTGTGTCTGTCTGTATACAGTACTGCCCTGACCTTGACTGCGTACGGTGTGTTCTTTTTTGGCCTTGTCTGTCTAGTAATGGGCTGATGTGTGCATGAGGATGCCCTGCCCTGCCCTGAGTTTGTACCTCCACGGTGTGTCTCTCTCTCTGTGTGTGTGTGTGTGTGTGTGAGAGAGAGTGAGAAAGTGTGTGTTTGTGTTAACACAGATTGCTCTGTCCTTGAGAGCTTTTCGGGCGTTCTGATGCGCCAGCAGTACTGTCTGAGCCAACCTGTCTCCCCTGCTAACAGAATGTGATTAGCTGATGATGGAACCCATCACGGTGCTGTGTGTGTGTGTGTGTGTGTTTTTGTGTGTGCACGTGCATGCGTGTGGGTGTCTCACTCAGAAAAAACCCACACACAGGCAGAAAACAGCAGGGTTGTCGGTTAGAGAATTGAACTGGTAGGACGTTTAAATCCTACTGCTTCTGTGCCCTTGAGCAAAGCACTCAATCAAAATTCAATACACATCCAGAACTATGAATGGAATCTGTTATAATGTATGTAATGCAAGCGCTACTGAGATGAAAGCACCTGCTTAGCAAGGGAAATTAATAATGGATTGCTTTTATGTTCCAGGGAATCAAACTGAACAACAGTATGAACAACGTGCTCTGCAGCATTACTTCTGATTTGCCCCAATAGAAGTGGTACATTAAAACCCCATTTATTCTGATCCAGCCACAGCAGTCACAATAAAAACATGTGTACTCTGTTGTCTTTCTGTTTCTTTCTCTGCATTACGCTACCTCTACCACGTTCACCCTTTCTCTCCTTTCTCGCTCTCGCTCTACATAATTCATGAGCATCATGTATTATTCAGGCCTGTGGCCGTCTCCATGGGCAACGGGTTGGGTCAGAGGTTAGGAGTCATGCTTGGGCTCACACACAGGTAAATGACAGATTATTACTACTCTCTAGTCCCACTGTGCTGCGTTTGGCTTTCATTTACCACTTCACTCCTCTCCATCTGTGTCTTTTACCCTCAGAACAGCCTCAATTCATTGGGGCATGGACTCTACAAGGTGTCGAAAGGGACACTGGGATGCTGGCACATGTTGACTCCAATGCTTCCCACAGGTGTGTCAAGTTGGCTGGATGTCCTTTGGGTGGTGGACCATTCTTGATACACATGGGAAACTGTTGAGCGTGAAAAACCCAGCAGCGTTACAATTCTTGACACAAACCGGTGGCACCTACTACCATACTCCGTTCAAAGGCACTTCAATCTTTTGTTTTGCCCATTCACCCTCTGAATGGCACTCATACACAATGTCTCAACTGTCTCAAGGCTTAAAAATTATTCTTTAACCTGTCTCCTCCCCTTCATCTACACTGATTGAAGTGGATTTAACAGGTGACATCAATAAGGAATCATAGCTTTCACCTGGATTCACCTGGTCAGTCTATGTCATGGAAAGAGCAGGTGTCCTTAATGTTTTGTACACTAAGTGTATTATTTCTCAAACAATATATCCCACCACTTAAACCCAGTTCCTAATCAGCAGAGAGTTGGTGCAGGTACTGCTGCTGTGCCTCTCTGTGAGCACCTGCAGTATGTTGAGGAAATCACAGGCTATAAAACGACAAAACCCAGGAGTCATGAGCCATGGAGCTGGGCCCTAGGGAGAGCTTAACAATGCATGAAGTGGACTGGACCACTGACTGTGTCCACTGCTATGTTTCATAAAGTCTCTCTAAAGGAAGAGACAGACAGGGCAGACTATTAAACGACCCTGTGCTGTCCCTAAATCACATACGCCATATCCTCTACACTTCTTCATTTATTTTCCCCACTGATCTAATGTGTTAGAGAAACCACTTCCACTCCCCTCTTCCCCCTCTCTCTCCAGAGAGTTAAGATACATAGACAGGATGATTCTCTTCTCTCCTCTTTTCATGGAAAGCATTTAACTCATCCTTAGCTTTTCTCCTAAGCCTGTAACCATGGTACCGCAGGGAGTCACAGTGAAAAAGGTTTCATTTCTTTCTATTATCTGATGCTGCGTCCATCTTCACAGGGATAGCCACTAGCCTAGGGTATTAATGACCACGGCTTGAAACTCTTAGTACCAACACACACTACAACTTTAATCTTCCATTGTCTCACATCCCAAACATCCTCAAAGCAAACTATGACCTAAATGTGTCAGAGAAGAAGACATCTTGTTTATTATTAGTGTGTTTTGTATAACATGTTTCATTCCCTCGCCTCTGAAGTGTGTGTGATATTAGTGTAACATAAATAGCAGTAACTAAGACTGCAGCTGTGTGTGTGTGAGTGTGTGAGTGTGAGTGTGTGAGAGTGTGAGTGTGAGTGTGTGTGTGTGCACGTGCCTATTTGCCTGCGTGTTTGTGTAAACAGCCATTCTAATAGACACATTGAGAGTAGGCCCAGTTGTTCCCACCTGCATCTTGCGGAGCTGGGAGAGTTGTTTGCGCAGGTCAGTGGCATTCTGCTGCAGGTCGTGGAGGTGGAGCTGCATCTGCAGCCGGGTGACGGTGGTGACCTGGGTGTCTCCGGAGGGAGGGGGGGGCATCAGAGCCAGCGGGGCCGACGGCGTCAGAGCTGACAATCACAGGACAGAACACAGGCTATGAGGAAGTCAAAGGAAACTGGGTTAATTACAATGCTGTATGTATAGAGACGTCTGTACACATACACACAACAGCAGATACATGCACACGCACACACACACTTCCACACTTCCACACGCAGTCTTGGGAGCACAGGTAAAGGATCCCAGCTCAGTTCCTGGACAGAGGTAGACTGAAAACGAACAGGGAGAGCCTGTTGATGGTGGGAGGAGAATATCCTTCTGAATCGCAGATGGTTGAACATAATAATAATATGCCATTTAGCAGACGCTTTTATCCGAAGCGACTTACAGTCATGCGTGCATACATTTTTGTGTATGGGTGGTCCCAGGGATCGAACCCACTACCTTGGCGTTACAAGCGCTGTGCTCTACCAGCTGAGCTACAGAGGACCAAGACAGACAGATCCAAAAGGAGTAAGGGACCAACAAGACAGGACCAGAGACAGGAGGGGGGTTAGAGAGGAGTTGGGGACAGGGTGTAGAAGAGACAGACCTGACCTCTAGGTAACCAACCAAAGGGTACATAAGAGAGGAGACACACCACCACCACCACTGGAGCTGGGACAACACCACATACACCCACACAGGGGCAGAGAGATGAGAGGAGAGATAGAAGAGAAAAGGAGAGAAGGAGAAGAGTGAAACTACCTTTCCGCTTCAGCCGTCCAGCTGTAATACAGAAGCAGTGAGCCAGTTACCAAAGATAAATGAGGGAGAGAGAGAAGAGAGAGTGGAGAAAAAAGGTTTACATTGCCAGAGGCAAATGAGGGCCCCTGAACACATCCTCTATCGACTATTGCTGAGAGAAAAATGGCTAATTTAACGGCTTTATTTTCTGATGTTATTTCATGCCAAGGAGAGGCATCAAAGGCAGATGTGTCCTTTCGCTGGCCCTTTGATGGTCTGGCCATTGAACAGCAAGTCTCTGTAGACTCACTCATGCTAAATGGAAGCATTAGCAACAGTGGAGGAAAGAGATATGGAGAGAGATAGGGAGTGAGAAGAAAGATAAATAAAACAGAAGAGGAAAGGGGAGGGAAAATGTGAGATATTAGAGGAAGCATGAAGAGAGCGATGGGTAAGTTTGTATCTAGGTTGCTAGTTAATAATAATAAAAATATGCCATTTAGCAGACGCTTTAGCGACTTACAGTCATGTGTGCATAAATTTTTACGTATGGGTGGTCCCGGGGATCGAACCCACTACCATGGCGTTATAAGCGCCATGCTCTACCAATTGAGCTACAAAGGACCACAGTTGAGTTGAGGGAGATGTCATTCTATGTCTGTTGAGGTTTACTGACCAGTAGCCATCTTATTGTTAAAATAACTGGTCTATGCCTGGTCCAATGAGTAAATGGATACGAGAACTAAGCTCAGCCTGAACTATTGTAAATGGTTAGCAGGACTGGACTCAGTCTGACTACAGGATCAAACTAAAACTCAATTCACCTCAATCTAGTTTGAGCATATATAGAACTTCAGGCGTAGTACTCACTTCCAGTGGCGGAGCCGTCGCTGTTGGATTCGGTCTTCTCGCTGGAAGAGAAAGGGAAGGGCCGTGAGAACTCCGAGCCCTGGTCCGGAGGGCAGCCCGCCATCATGCAGAGACGCAGTAGGCCGCATCTGAGGATCAACCAGGTCCACAGGGCAAGGCAATTACAGTGCTAATGCCAACACCTGTACTATACTCATGTACTACAGTATGTACTTATACTACAGGACATACAGGGATTTCTAGTGTACACAGGGCAACATCATTATTACCAGCCAATAATACCAACAGCTGTACTATACTTATGTATAGTACTACTATACTTCAATAATGTACTTGTACATATTCTGGTCTATTAAACAACAATACAGTGAGGGAAAAAAGTAATTGATCCCCTGCTGATTTTGTACGTATTTGATCCCCCACTGACAAAGACATGATCAGTCTATAATTTTAATGGTAGGTTTATTTGAACAGTGTGAGAAAAATGTTATTCATTGATTTGCATTTTAATGAGGGAAATAAGTATTTGACCCCTCTGCAAAACATGACTTAGTGCTTGGTGGCAAAACCCTTGTTGGCAATCACAGAGGTCAGATGTTTCTTGTAGTTGGCCACCAGGTTTGCACACATCTCAGGAGGGATTTTGTCCCACTCCTCTTTGCAGATCTTCTCCAAGTCATTAAGGTTTCGAGGCTGACGTTTGGCAACTCAAACCTTCAGCTCCCTCCACAGATTTTCTATGGGATTAAGGTCTGGAGACTGGCTAGGCCACTCCAGGACCTTAATGTGCTTCTTCTTGAGCCACTCCTTTGTTGCCTTGGCCGTGTGTTTTGGGTCATTGTCATGCTGGAATACCCATACACGACCCATTTTCAATGCCCTGGCTGAGGGAATGAGGTTCTCACCCAAGATTTGACGGTACATGGCCCCGTCCATCATCCCTTTGATGCGGTGAAGTTGTCCTGTCCCCTTAGCAGAAAAACACCCCCAAAGCATAATGTTTCCACCTCCATGTTTGACGGTGGGGATGGTGTTCTTGGGGTCATAGGCAGCATTCCTCCTCCTCCAAACACGGCGAGTTGAGTTGATGCCAAAGACCTCGATTTTGGTCTCATCTGACCACAACCATTTCACCCAGTTCTCCTCTGAATCATTCAGATGTTCATTGGCAAACTTCAGACGGGCCTGTACATGTGCTTTCTTGAGCAGGGGGACCTTGCGGGAGCTGCAGGATTTCAGTCCTTCACGGCATAGTGTGTTACCAACTGTTTTCTTGGTGACTATGGTCCCAGCTGCCTTGAGATCATTGACAAGATCCTCCCGTGTAGTTCTGGGCTGATTCCTTACCGTTCTCATGATCATTGCAACTCCACGAGGTGAGATCTTGCATGGAGCCCCAGGCCGAGGGAGATTGACAGTTATTTTGTGTTTCTTCCATTTGCGAATAATCGCACCAACTGTTGTCACTTTCTCACCAAGCTGCTTGGCAATGGTCTTGTAGCCCATTCCAGCCTTGTGTAGGTCTACAATCTTTTCCCTGACATCCTTGGAGAGCTCTTTGGTCTTGGCCATGGTGGAGAGTTTGGAATCTGATTGATTGATTGCTTCTGTGGACAGGTGTCTTTTATACAGGTAACAAACTGAGATTAGGAGCACTCCCTTTAAGAGTGTGCTCCTAATCTCAGCCCATTACCTGTATAAAAGACACCTGGGAGCCAGAAATCTTTCTGATTGAGAGGGGGTCAAATACTTATTTCCCTCATTAAAATGCAAATCAATTTATAACATTTTTGACATGCATTTTTCTGGATTTTTTTGTTGTTATTCTGTCTCTCACTGTTCAAATAAACCTCCCATTAAAAGTATAGACTGATCATTTCTTTGTCAGTGGGCAAACGTACAAAATCAGCAGGGGATCAAATACTTTTTTCCCTCACTGTATCTTGAGACCAGTCATGTATTTCTGTGCTCGTCCTGTCATGTTGCTACTGCTGTAGTAGTATATACTTCTATGAATGGCTCTGTGTGTTTGGGGTCTTATGGGGGTCTTACGTGCTGTCACTGTCGGGTGCTTTGGTCAGTACACTCTGAACCAGGCCTGTCAGACTGGCTATCTGTTTCTCCATGGCCTCCATACGGTCCAGACGCTCCATACGATCCCTGGAGAAAGCCAGCAGGTTAACACACACTGGTCAGTTAGGTTTACTCACACACACAAACATGCAAGCTCATGCGCCCACACGTCACACAGTAATGTCACAACATACTAGTATACACTAGAAAACACCTAGTGAAACACACACATACTGTATAGGGGAAGCATGAAATCTCAAACCACACACACACACACACACATATACTCACCTGGACTCAGAAGTTTCTCCAGGGAGCGGGGAGCTGTACCCGGGCGCAAACCTGCTCCCGTCCCCTCCCGACCCGGCCTGCAGGGCCAAAGGGTCAGAGCTGGAACTGGGCCTGGACTTGGGGCTCTCCACAAACATGGAAGAGGAGGTTGAGTCCTTGCGGAAGGTCTGCCTGACCGGGGAGGCTCGACTGGGGGAGCTGGAGTATGAGTCCCCCCTGTCCCTCAGCTGCATATCAGGGATCTTCTGTGGGGAGGATGGGGGCATACGGAAGCCCATGCCCAGTGTGGCTGAGGAGTAGGAGTCGGAGTAGACGGGACCTCCAGGCTTGTACAGGGCGTCCTCCAGCTCCCCCTGCAGGGCGGCAGCAGAGTAGGTGCTGAGGGAGCGCACAGAGCCACGGCGGTACAGCCCACCTGACACAGGGAAGCCGAAGGGGTCTCCGATGGCAGCCAGTGACTGTGTAGAGGCGATGCTGAGGCGGCCCTCGTGTACCAGGCTGTAGGGGTCAGCATACAACCCCTCGTTCTTCACCAACATCATGTTCTTCCCAGACACCTCCTCGTCGGGCTTGACGTCACGACGCTCCAGGATGGCGCTAGGGGAGGAGGACAGGCCAGCATTGGGGCCCCCGTGGTGGGAGCCAGCCCCAGGGTGGTGGGAATGCTGGGGCTGGTGCTGCTGGGGGTGCTGCTGGTGCTGGGGGTGACTACCCGGCCCGGCGAAGGAAGGAGGCCGCCCCCCACTGTAGGACAGACGAGAGCGGGATGGGGAACCGGAGGGGGGTGAGGCGGAGGAGGAGGGCAGGGTGTTGAGGCGGCGGGTAGGGGAGGACTCTCGGGATGTGTACACCAGATCCCTCTGAAATGACAACAGGGGCAGGGGTGGAGGGTAGGTTACCATGGATACCAGTGGATGAAAAGGCTGTGCTCCCCCTCTGTGCCAGACTGACAATCAGAGGATAGGAGATCAGACTGACATTGGACAGTCTGTGGCAGCCTGGGCTCATCAATGCAATCATAGCATCTTTATACAAGCCCACATCAAATACCACCACACAATCAACACGTGTTATTCAAGTCTATAGTAATGACTCTATCCAAGAGTACAGAAAGGCTTATAGGATATGGGAATACCTACATGTATTGACTGTCACCTTACAGTGTAATAACTGAGGCTGAAAGTGAAAGAGCTTAAGAGAGGGGCCCAGTCCAGCCTTATTGTCGCACTGTTTCTTTCTTCTCCTTCCACTCATCTAGGAGAACCACTGAGCTCCATTTAACCAGCCCAACTAAACCCATTGGTATTACATTGGATTACAAAGAACTCGTATTCAGCACATCTCCATATCTGCACATATCTATTTCCTCTTTATTGAAGAGAAGTGAGAGAAAGCAGGAATTTCCTCATCCACCACAGGTTCCTTCTTTCTTCTCTCCTCCACCGCTTGCCTGTGTGGTCTAATCCTTTAATATTGTACACACACACACACACACACACACACACACACACACACACACACACACACACACACACACCACACACACACACACACACACACACACACACACACACACACACACACACACACACACACTTGTACACAGGAGTCGGGACTAATACTTACATAAAACCCTGAAAACACAGTTAAAACCAGCTCTCCAAACCCAAAAATGTACACCCCGGAGCAGTTCAATGTCAAGATGTTAGCTAACATGCAGGGCAGTCCCCAGCACAGCACTGAACTAGGAGGGGGTGTGCAGTTCACACACACACTGTCATAGAACAAAGAGCCAACAAAGAGCCAGCAACTTTAATGTTCTTCAAAGGCCTGGCTTTACCACATCATCTACCCTTCTGGAAATAAGAACTCTCTATGATTTCATGTAATCTAGTTCAGTCCATCAGTCCATCCTATTTTGTTTCTCCGTACACACTTTAGGGATTTCCGTATGCCTGCACGCACGCACGCACACACACAAACACACACACACACACGAAAACACACACATACGCACAGACACAGACAGAGACAGAGACACAGCCACCCACACACACACTCTAATTATTTGCATAGGTTTGTCCCAAACAAATGGCGCTGGAGAAGATGGCTGCCGTTTTACAGCCCTCTAACCAATTGTACTATTATGTGTGTTTTTCCGCGTTATTTGTAATTTATTTTGTACATAATGTTTCTGCCATCGTCTCTTATAACCAAAAAGAGCTTCTGGATATCAGGACAGCGATTACTCACCTCGTATTGGACGAATAATGTTTCTTCAACGAGGCGGCCGTGAAGGATATCCTACAGACACCCGACAAGGCCCAAATCCCCGTCATTCGCATGAGGAAGAGACGGAGATATCGTGGACGTAGGTCGGGGTGCCTTGTAAGGATCCGACGGCGAGCGAGTAAACTGCCGCTCCCATCAATCCTATTAGCCAATCTTCAATCATTGGAAAATAAATTGGATGACCTAAGATTACGGTTATCCTACCAACGGGACATTAAAAACTGTAATATCTTCTGTTTCACCGAGTCGTGGCTAAACGACGACATGGATAACATACAGCTAGCGGGCTATACGCTACATCGGCAGGATAGAACGGCTGACTCCGGTAAGACAAGGGGTGGCGGTCTGTGTATATTTGTAAACAACAGCTGGTGCACAAAATCAAATACTAAGGAAGTCTCAAGGTTTTGCTCACCTGAGGTAGAGGGTATTATGATAAGCTGTAGACCACACTATTTACCAAGAGAGTTTTCATCTATATTTTTCATAGCTGTCTATTTACCACCACAAACCAATGCTGGCATTAAGATTGCACTGAATGAGCTGTATAAAGCCATAAGTCAACAGGAAAACGCTCATCCAGAGGCAGCACTCCTAGTGGCCGGGGACTTTAATGCAGGGAAACTTAAATCCGTTCTACCTAATTTCTACCAGCATGTTAAATGTGCAACCAGAGAAAAAAAAACTCTAGACCACCTTTACTCCACACACAGAGACGCATACAAAGCTCTCCCTCGCCCTCCATTTGGCAAATCTGACCATAACTCTATCCTCCTGATTCCTGCTTATAAGCAAAAACTAAAGCAGGAAGCACCAGTGACTTGGTTAATAAGAAAGTGGTCAGATGACGCAGATGCTAAGCTACAGGACTGTTTTGCTAGCACAGACTGGAACATGTTCCGGGATTCTTCAGATAGCATTGAGGAGTACACCACATCAGTCACTGGCTTCATCAATAAGTGCATCGATGATGTTGTCCCCACAGTTACCGTACGTACATACCCCAACCAGAAGCCATGGATTACAGGAAACATCCGCACTGAGCTAAAGGGTAGAGCTGCCGCTTTCAAGGAGCGGGACTCTAACCCGGACGCTTATAAGAAATCCCGCTATGCCCTCCGACGAACCATCAAACAGGCAAAGAGTCAATACAGGACTAAGATTGAATCGTACTACACCGGCTCTGACGCTCGTCGGATGTGGCAGGGCTTGAAAACTATTACAAACTACAAAGGGAAGCACAGCCGCGAGCTTCCCAGTGACACAAGCCTACCAGACGAGCTAAACCACTTCTATGCTCGCTTCGAGGCAAGCAACACTGAAGCATGCATGAGAGCACCAGCTGTTCCGGATGACTATGTGATCACGCTCTCCGTAGCCGATGTGAGTAAGACTTTTAAGCAGGTCAACATTCACAAGGCCGCAGGGCCAGATGGATTACCAGGACGTGTACTCCGAGCATGTGCTGACCAACTGGCAAGTGTCTTCACTGACATTTTCAACATGTCCCTGACTGAGTCTGTAATACCAACATGTTTCAAGCAGACCACCATAGTCCCCGTGCCCAAGGACACTAATATAACCTGCCTAAATTACTACCGACCCGTAGCACTGACGTCTGTAGCCATGAAGTGCTTTGAAAGGCTGGTCATGGCTCACATCAACAACATTATCCCAGAAACCCTAGACCCACTCCAATTTGCATACCACCCCAACAGATCCACAGATGATGCAATCTCTATTGCACTCCACACTGCCATTTCCCACCTGGACAAGAGGAACACCTACGTGATAATGCTATTCATTGACTACAGCTCAGCATTCAACACCATAGTGCCCTCAAAGCTCATCACTAAGCTAAGGATCCTGGGACTAAACACCTCCCTCTGCAATTGGATCCTGGACTTCCTGACGGGCCGCCCCCAGGTGGTAAGGGTAGGTAACAACACCTCTGCCACACTGATCCTCAACACGGGGGCCCTTTAGGGTGCGTGCTCAGTCCCCTCCTGTACTCCCTGTTCACCCATGACTGCATGGCCAGGCACGACTCCAACACCATCATTAAGTTTGCCGACGACACAACAGTGGTAGGCCTGATCACCGACAACGATGAGACAGCCTATAGGGAGGAGGTCAGAGACCTGGCCGTGTGGTGCCAGGATAACAACCTCTCCCTCAACGTGACCAAGACAAAGGAGATGATTGTGGACTACAGGAAAAAAAAGAGGACTGAGCACGCCCCCATTCTCATCGACGGGGCTGTAGTGGAACAGGTTGAGAGCTTCAAGTTCCTTGGTGTCCACATCACCAACGAACTATCATGGTCCAAACACACCATGACAGTCGTAAAGAGGGCACGACAAAGCCTATTCCCCCTTAGGAGACTGAAAAGATTCGGCATGGGTCCTCAGATCCTCAAAAAATTCTACAGCTGCACCATCGAGAGCATCCTGACTGGTTGCATCACCACCTGGTATGGCAACTGCTTGGCCTCCGACCGCAAGGCACTACAGAGGGTAGTGCGTACGGCCCAGTACATCACTGGGGCCAAGCTTCGTGCCATCCAGGACCTCTATACCAGGCGGTGTCAGAGGAAGGCCCTCAAAATTGTCAAAGACTCCAGCCACCCTAGTCATAGACTGTTCTCTCTGCTACCGCACGGCAAGCGGTACCGGAGTGCCAAGTCTAGGTCCAAAAGACTTCTCAACAGCTTCTACCCCCAAGCCATAAGACTCCTGAACAGCTAATCATGGCTACCCGGACTATTTGCACTGCCCCCCCACCCCATCTTTTTACGCTGCCGCTATTCTGTTAATTATTTATGCATAGTCCCTTTAACTCTACCCACATGTACATATTACTTCAACTACCTCAACTAGCCGGTGCCCCCGCACATTGACTCTGCACCGGTACCCCCCTGTATATATAGCCTCCCTACTGTTATTTTATTTTACTTCTGCTCTTTTTTTCTCAACACTTTTTTGTTGTTGTTTTATTTAACTTTTTTATAAAAAATAAATGCACTGTTGGTTAAGGGCTGTAAGTAAGCATTTCACTGTAATGTCTGCACCTGTTGTATTTGGCGCATGTGGCCAATAAAATTTGATTTGATTTGATTTGATTTGATTCATCCTCAATGTATTGTGAATATTACAGATGATAGGGACTGAAAACAGAACAACTTCAAGGTACCTTGAACTCAACCAAAGCAGAGACATGCAGAGGGGGTGAAACATTGTTATTTAGTGTCCAGGCAGCAAATGGTACTCTTGAAGATAAAAGTACTGCCCAGAGGGAATATCTGGACACAAAGGGCACAAAGGGCTGTTGCACCTTCAAAGGTTAAAGCCCAACTGTAATGTGATAGTATCAGCATTTATAGTAGAATAATGAGCCCTCCATCCACCTATCCACCTATCCCCCATCCCAGCTCCCCCCCCCTCCCCCCTCCCCTTCCTCAGCACCCCTCTCTCCTCCCTCACCCTTCTCTCCCCTCCCTGTCTCACCCTCAGGTCCCCGTTGACCAGGTGTGTGGCGGGGTAGGAGGCGTAGATGGGCTCCTTGCGGTAGATCTTGATGATGCTGCGGTCCTGGATGTCCCGGATGTCCTCCAGCTCGTAGAAGACATTGCGCGCCTCGTCCTTGATCAGGATGGCCGTGTTGGGGGACTTGAGCATCCCCGCCGTCAGCTTCTGGGGGAACATGTGCACGATGAGGGCGTGCAGCGTGTCCAGGCTGCTCAGCTCGTGGGTGATGTGCACCCGCCGCGTCTCATCCCCAAACTGCAGGAACAGCACGCCTGGAGAAGGAGAGAGATAAAGAGACACAATTTATCATATATTTTGAAGATCTTTTCTGACTTTATTGAATAGATAGAGAGAGATTATGACAGTGGGGAAAGGTAGAGAGAGGTTGGGTCAAAGGTCAGTAGGCCGGATTGGAACCTATGCCGACACTGTAGATGTGTGCCGGAGGCTGAGGCATCACCGCTAGACCACCCTAGGCCACGGAGAGAGAATTTAAAGTCAAACAGAGAGGAAGAGGATGAAGGTAGAGCAGGAGATAATAGAAACATAGAGGAAGGGGGGATGAAATTCAAAGAAAAAGGAGAGAGAGATAGATAGAGGGAAGGTGAAGAGAGTCAGAGACTCGGGTTGATAAATAGACAGGAGGAGGTGGGAGTGAGAGAGTGCCACTGTTCTATAGCACTGCCTAAACTCCTCTTCCAAAGGGCTCATCATCCGTCACTGTCACTGGTTTTACAGCACTCTGTTTCTCCCTGCGTGCTTAGCATAGCCTACACCCCCCAATGTTTATAAGTCTGATCCATCCACACTGTAAAGCTGTCCCAACACTGAGTTCACTCTTATGATACTGTAGTCCACACTGTAAAGCTGTCCCAACACTGAGTTGACTTATGTCTATAAATATATTATCTCTGTGCTAATAATGAAATACAGTGCAGTGTATGGCTTTATATGGTTGTTGTGCCTCAAATAGTGGGATACAATCTAAGGCGTGGATGATCCAGTGTTATGTAAGCAGTAATGCAGCACAGGGCAGGCAGGCAGAGAATAATCACACTGATCTGAGGGTGTGAAGAGGCACCAGGCTGTAGGTTACTAACCCAGGAGATGTGTGATTGGTCCCTGATAACAACACCCAGGAGATGTGTGATTGGTCCCTGATAACAACACCCAGCCTGGAGTGCATAACTTACGCTTATGAAATGGTTACAAAATATGCAAATGTTATCACGATTCAATCATTTCACAAGAATTCATATTGAATAGTGAATTCAAAGAAAGAATAACCACAAAATGTGAAAGGAATTTGAGATGTTTGATAATTATTTACTATGTAAGCAGATAAGGTTTCATAAGATAGCAGATAAGCTAGGTAAATGTTAATATGAAAATGGCATGAAGCCATTCTGATCAGATTGGTAAATTGACATTTAATGCAAGAAGTCTACAAAAGCTTTGGGATGAGGAAGATGTTGCCTCAGCTATGTAGCTGGTAAAGGCTATTACATGGTCATGTACAGTACCAGTCAAAGGTTTGGACACACCTACTAATCTTTATTTTTACTATTTTCTACATTGTAGAATAATAGTGAAGACATCAAAACTATGAAATAGTTGGTTCCACAGCGGTTGGAACCAAAAATCTCCAATTTGGACTCCAGACCAAAGGACAGATTACTACCGGTCTAATGTCCATTGCTCGTGTTTCTTGGCCCAAGCAAGTATCTTCTTATTATTGGTGTCCTTTAGTAGTGGTTTCTTTGCAGCAATTCAACCATGAAGGCATGATTCACGCAGTCTCCTCTGAACAGTTGATGTTGAGATGTGTCTGTTACTTGAACTCTGAGAAGCACTTATTTGGGCTGCAATTTCTGAGGCTGGTAACTCTAATGGTCTTCCTTTCCTGTGGCGGTCCTCATGAGAGCCAGTTTCATCATAGCGCTTGATGGTTTTTGTGACTGCAATTGAAGAAACTTTCAAAGTTCTTCACATTTTCCGTATTGACTGACCTTCATGTCTTAAAGTAGTGTCATTTCTCTTTGTTTATTTGAGCTGTTCTTGCCATAATATGGCCTTGGTCTTTTACCAAATAGGGCTATCTTCTGTATACCCCACCCCTACCTTGTCACAACACAACTGATTGGCTCAAACACATCTATTAATTGAAATGCATTCCAGGTGACTACCTCATGAATCTGGTTGAGAGAATGCCAATAGTGTGCAAAGCTGTCATCAAGGCAAAGGGTGGCTACTTTGAAGAATCTCAAATATAAAATAAAAATATACAGCTCAATGTAACATTGATAGGTTTAGGCTACTACATGATACTCACATTTTACCTATACCCATCATGAGGTTGCTACAACCTAGCCTATGAATGAAAGTTTACAACGTAGGTGCATAGGTCAAGATAAACATTTGAGTAATCAAGATGACAGACAGTGGCACATTCAATACCGCCTTGCACACTTGCCTGCATCTAGCTGATCTAGGGTGTAATCATTAGTCCAACAGTTGCAAAAAAGATTTTCTATTGGACAAATTCAGGTATGTTTATCCCCGTTTCGTTCCGTTTGCTTCCACTTAAGAAACGTTTTTCAACAGAATCGGTGGAATGAATAGTTCACTTTCATAGCAGCCACATACAAACAGCATGATCACTTTGCACATTAATTCCTTTTCGCATTTACGCGCTGTCCTCCTGTCACCTTTTCCCTTCGCTTGTGGGCTTCAGTGCACAACACATCAGCTGTTTGCGACAAAAGCTTTCTAAGCCAAACCTTCATATCATGACCGCTAACCGCTACACACAGCCTACATCGTTGTCACCATATTAGCTAATGTCAGTCAACATAGCTACTAGAACTAACGCGTTAGTAAACCCGCTACAATCATGCAGTACAGTGTACAGTTAGCAAGCAGTTTAGCAGTTACACCGGCAGGGGCAATAAATGAATAAAACCAAAAGCTAACCTTGATTTGGAAAAGTTCCAGTGTTGGATAGGCATAGCCAGTTAGCTAACATAGCATCCCTCTCTGTTTGAGCTGGGTGTTTGAGTAGGCTAAACTAGCTAGCTGCATTTGCTAGCTAAGTGAAAGTAAAACAAATAAAAAACAACTTAATATAGCAATCTCTCTCTCTCTCTCTCTCTCTCCCTCTCTCTCTCTTGCTTCTCCTTCATTTTTAAATAAATAAATTTGTTCAAAACTGTTCAACTATTGTCTTTCTCTCTCTTTGAGTCAGCTACTCACCACATTTTATACACTGCAGTGCTAGCTAGCTGTAGTAGCTTATGCTTTCAGTACTAGATTACTTCTCTGATCCTTTGATTGGGTGGACAACATGTCAGTTCATGCTACAAGAGCTCTGATAGGTTGGAGGACGTCCTCTGGAAGTTGTCATAATAACTGTGTAAGTCTATGGAAGGGGGTGAAAACCATGAGCATCCTAGGCTTTTGTATTGAAGTCAATGTACCAAGAGGAGGACAGAAGCTAACTCCAGCTACACCATGGTGCTACCCTACAGAGTTCTGTTGAGGCTACTGTAGACCTTCATTGCAAAACAGTGCGTTTTAATCAATTATTTGGTGGCATGTGAATATATTTAGTATAGTATATATCTAAAAGGATAACTGTTTTAAAGTTTCACTATAAAAAAAATTATGGAATTCACTGAGGAGGATGGTTCTCCCCTTCCTCCACTGAGGAGCCTCCACTGATCTCATGTACTGTATATTCTCTGTACAGTATGTGGTGGGTCTCACCTGGGGAGCGCAGCTTGTTCTGGCTGGCTGAGCGAGACAGGGGCAGACTCTGGCGGAAGCGGTTGGTTCGGCTGAACCCCAGGGGGATGTCAGCCTCAGACATGGTCTCAGCCAGAGACTCAGCCGAGGCAAAGGACAGCTTAGCAGCCTGGTCAGCTAGCCCAGACTGGGTGGACTGGGAGTGACGCGGGCTACGACTCTGGAGGAGAGAAATAGAGAGAGAGTTTGTTTGGGGAGAGGAGAGGGAGAGAGAGGCAGATAGAATGGATTTGACAGAGAGGAGTACAAACTTGAAAGAGGTAACAAACAATATACAGATTATAAGACAAACAAACACAATTAAGATTGGCATAATGTATCAGCATGTCAGGACCAACATTCACACAACTGATGCCATCTTTCCTCTTTCTGATAGGGTGGGATGGAATAATGTGATGGTGCCTGTTGGTTCACCAATGCTGACAGCAGAAGGATACAGCAAGGCAGAGGTGCAGAACACAACACCTTCAGAACTGGGGATCCACTGAGGACAAGTAGGTAGGAATGGGGAAGATACAGAATAACCTGGTGGGCACTGAGACCTATTTTAATGTTTTAAAGCTTATGTAAAGTTCTCTCTCCCTCTACACCTGCCTCCTCTCCCTATTGGTTGGGGCCAGGGCTGTCTGGATTAGACAAGGCCATGCAGATCCAGATCAGGGCTGTCACTCTGGGTTTATTCTACTGGCCTGGGCCCAGGCAGCATCTCTTCTTCCTCAGCTACTCTGCTGCTACTGCTACTAGACTGTGTTCTGATAGGCTGCTGTGTTCTGTTCAGTGAGCTGGCTCCCCTATCCCCACCGCCGGGTCTCCTCCAGCTCCCAGACTCCTTTAATGAGCTCCCAGAATGCTAGATGAGGACTGTTAGGATTGCAGAGCCAGCCAGACACATTACGGTACAATACAGTGCCTACGCCCCTCGCTTGTCCCTCACACCAAGTAGAACACAACTTCTCCTCCGCTCTCTCTGTCATTTTCATCCCTCGTTCTGGTTTAATAAGACTTCAGCATGTTTTTTACGAGGCTCTCATTAATCTTGTATTTAGGAAGGCGAGACGCAGCTTCACAGAGTGCTGTGCTCATTGACTCCCAGCAGTGCTCGCTTTGGGGTCATTGACAAATACACAGAACATGCATGCACATACACCACAGGGGGCTGCTGAGGACGGCTCTTAATAATGTCTGGAACGGATACCATTCCGCTCCAGCCTTTACCACGAGCCCATCCTCCCCAATTAAGGTGCCACCAACCTCCTGTGACACACATACAAGCTCACACACACACATATACACACACACACACACACACACACATGCACGCACACATGCATGCACGCACACACAGCACACACACGCACAGTTCATACTGCAACCACAAACATTTACACAGTGCAGTCACACACACAACCCCACAACAGAGTGGTGGCACTTGTAAATGACTGCACTGTTGGAGCTAGGAACATAAGCATTTCGCTACACCTGCGATAACATCTGCTAAATATGTGTGCGCGACCAATAACATTTGATTTGATTTGATTTGGTGGACAGGGCAGGGCAGGCAGACAGTGTCTGAGCACGCAGAGAGAGGGTGATTCTGACGGCTCGCCCCCACTGTGCTTTCAAATGGGGTCATTTATCGAAGCAACGACCACACTGAGCAGGCAGCACAACGACACAGTCCATAGCACCACACAGCAGCACATATATTGTACACACAGAACACACTACACACACAATCCACACAGACACCAGCTCCAGTGAGCCAAGCAGAGCTCCAGGGCTAAATAAAGCCAGAGCACAGATGGATAAAACACAGCCATCATCTTGACTTAGCACAGCTAAAAGATACATGTCCTTTAGAAGAGTGAGTCACATCTCTAATCACAGCAATAATCAAAGGAGGCCTCTAGTGTCTCCAACACGTCAGTGAGCTGACGTTGAGCTAACGCTACTCCCTGGAGTTTGTGTGTCTACATAACAGAGGATCTTTTCAACAAATCACACCGAACCAGTGAGACCATGCAAAATATCAAACAGAACTCAGGAGAAAGTGGAGAGAGGGAAACTAGCACCATCACTCTCTCACACACACGAAAGAAGATCTGTCACCAAACTCCAGCAACTCACCTAATGAGATTCTTTCACTTTGACTGTTGTTGGAAAAACAGGTGTGAGTCATTCTATTGTAGCTTGGAGAAACACTAAACACTTAAGAAACAAAGGTAGATTCCCCCAATGGAACAAAATATGTTCTCTCAATATGTTGGAGGAAAGAAACCATATCAACTTGGTGTTGTTGCCATAGATATTTTATGTAAAGGTGTCAAAGTGATATCCCACTAGGCACAAACGTTCAATGTAATTTCATTGAAATGGCGTGGAAACAACGTTGATTCAACCAGTGGGTGCCCAGTTGGATAGATCGCGGGGAGCGTTCCTAGAACCATTCTCTCCAGTGCGTCATCATGGGCAGGTAAATGCACACACCATCTGCTAAGAGATCTCTAATGCTAGACACGCACTCTCTCTTCAGAGGAAAACAGTGGTTCCACCTCTTCCACTTTTCTCTGCACCTTTTCTTCTCCTCCCCTCTCTCCCTCTCTCCCTCTCTCCCTCTCTCCCTCTCTCCCTCTCTCCCTCTCTCCCTCTCTCCCTATCATCCTATGGTGTCAATCCAGGCTTTTTCAATAGCACTCAATTACTGTGAGAAGACTACATTCTTATAATACAACGGAGGAAGAAATGAACAAGGAGAAAACAAGATAAACTTACAAGAAATATAATTCAATGTAAAGGAGGACACAGCAGACTGCAACATACCTAGGGCTATGAACTGCATTCAATCCAACAACACACCCCATCTCTCTCTCCTTTTCTCTCTCTCTCCCTCCCTCTCTGTTTCTCTCTATTTTGTCTCTTGTTCACACACAGGGTGGGTCAGGTTTAAGGTCAGTGTCATGGTTGTGTTTAAGTGCTTGTTATAGGTTGAGAGGCTTAAGTTAATGGTTGGGGGCAAGGCCACATAGAGAAAACAGATAGCTGTCCAGTCCACCACTGGAGGATCACATGACAGGGGGTGACGGCCTCTGGTTTCTCTTTAGCTGTTAATTACCATGGTGATAAGTGATAAGACATTCCACTGAGAGTTTATTAGTCAGAAAGAGAGAAAGAGACATTCTCACTATTCTCAGATCTGTTGCTAGAGAGACGTTTATTAACCCATGAGAGTCTAAGTCTTGTCTAAGACAGGGGGGGGGGGGTTCTACTAAGAATTGTTTTAAGAAGCTCATACCAAGGATAATTTGTTTAAATTAATTTACATTTTAAAATCTAGAATTGTTTTATTTGATGCAATTTTTATTTGGCCTTGCTGCTATTAGCCCATACATTGAATAACAGATTCACCACATGGAACAACAGATAGTCCCCTCCAAAAAATCTAAAGGAAATATGTAAAGGAAGTGTCTGTCCTATATCTGAGAGATATAAGAAAGTTCAGGAAACATTATTATTATAAATTTTTTTAAACATGTATTTAACCCCTTATTGTTGGTACTAAACAGTCTTCATATATACTTCCATAATGTTTTTCAACTCGTACCGGGGGACCTTCAGATGAGTCTTGTGAGGCCTGTGGGCGTCATTGAGCAAAACCAACATGTACGTGTTCGTAAGAGTCTCACCTTTCCACAGAGCCATCATTAGTGTGTAGCCCAAACTGTTTGGATGCTACAGACAGAAGTTGGCAGATCGGCTGTACCGACTTTAGACGAGTCCCAATACGCTTGTGGGGGTTGTAGAGCAAAACGGACGATTTTGTGAGAAGACTGATTTTCAGGATCTCTCATGGTCTGACAAACACCGCTCTAGCTCTGTCACCTTTCACCGCAGATGCGGAAGTGCGACATAGGCGGATGCGGTGTATTGAGACACATCCAATGCAAAAAAACAGATATATCTAGCTTAAACTGATGGATTTGTATAGGGATCTTTTTATTATGCTAATTCGATTTCCGCAGGGGCACAGACATCGACCTTAGGTGGTTTTAACTGACTAATATCACACTCCTCACACCTCTCTCTTCTTCTATCACCCTTCTATTATCTGCCCTTTTCAAGCACTTTCAGTAACCTTTCCTTTTTCATACACTGACTATACCAAACATTAGGAACACCTTACTAATATTGAGTTGCCCTCAGAACAACCTCAATTTGTCAGGGCATGGACTCTACAAGGTGTCGAAAGCGTTCCACAGGGATGCTGGCCCATGTTGACTCCAATGCTTCTCACAGATGTGTGTCAAATTGGCTGGATGTCCTTTGGGTGGTGGACCATTCTTGATACACATGGGAAACTGTTGAGCGTGAAAAACCCAGCAGTGTTGCAGTTATTGACACGAACCAGTGCACCTGGCACCTACTACCATACCCCGTCAAAGCACTTATCATTGGTTGTCTTCACCATTCACCCTATGTAATGGCAACACACACACTAACCATGTCTCAATTGTCTCAAGGTCTGTAACCTGTTTCACTCCCCGAAACTACATTGATTGAAATAGATTTAACAGGTGACATCAATAAGGGATCATAGCTTTCAGCTGGATTCACCTGGTCAGTCTATGTCATGAGTAGGTGTTCTTAATGTTTTGTATACTCAGTGTATGTCCTTCTCCTTTCCCTCCCCATCTCTATCCTTCTCCTTCTCTCTCTCTTCTCTCTCTCTCTCTCTCCTCTCTCTCTCATCGTCTCGTCTCTCTGGCTCCCCGGTCTCTCTCTCTTTCTCTCTCTCTCTACTAATCAATACTCTCTCTGTGCCATCTTTCCCATTCCCTTTCCTGCTCTGTCGCTCACACCCCTCAGAGCGTCATCAGTTTTTAATTTGTCTCAAAAGTAGCTTCTCATTCTGGCTGTCTGGATCTCTCTATGTCAACACCTCTGTTTCTGGACAGCTCTCAAAGCAGCCTCTACTCCTTCTCCTGCTGAATTCTATGTCTGTTTGAACAGCCCTGCTCTCACACACACTCGCTCTCTCTCCACACTTTGTGGTATTTCACCAAACAGGGAGAGAAGAGCCTAGAAAACAAGCAAGCCTACGGCTGTTCCGCGAAAATTGGAAACAAAATTACCCCCCTCTTACTCCTCACTTACTCTTTCCCTCTATCTCTGGCTTTCACTCTCGCCGTCTATCTCTCGGGCAGAATGCGAGCGTGCCCCCCCCCCCCCCCCTCTTTCCTTGGCCGAGCTCAGTCTCTTTATAACACGGGGAGTCATCAATGCATGGAAGAAATTGCTCTGCCAAATTGCGCTGGATTGTACACTGATGCGATCTGCTCGCTCGGCAGGAGAGTGAGGAAAATGGCGTACTCTGGGGAGGGATGATGACTGAGATGGCTGGTAGTCTTCTTTGCTGAGGAAAAATAGAAAAGGGGCCAGGCCAGTAGAATACATACATACCAGACCAGGGTTAAAATACGTGTGTATTTGAGTATCTGTTATTTAAATACTATTTTTCTGTGTATTTGAGTATTTTCAAATTCACAGCCCAAAACAAGTACTTTTATTTGTTATTTGTAAAAACCAAATAGTCTACCAAATTGTAATTGAAAGTCTTTGTGTATTTGAGTCAGTGTATTTGAGCATTTTCAAATACTTTCCAAGTGTATTTCAAAATACATTCCAATATTCAACTACTTGTTTTTTAAAATAAAGGTTATCTGAATACTTGTTTTGAAATGTACTGAAAACTAATTGAAATACATGAAATAGTATTTGAACTCAGGTCTGATACACACAGCAGAGAAAACTCTATAGGGCTGGATTCTACATCTTCTTCTACCTCTACTACTTATCACCTGTTCTCCTCCTTCACTTTAATTATGTCTAATTCAGCTTGTTGAGAATGTGACTCATTCAGTAGGCTTTTAATTATATTAAGCTCCAGATTTAGACACTGTGATGTAATTTATGTGGAGGAGCACTGGAGAAGTGGGCAAGCATTATTCAACAAGCACTTGATCAAATATTTCCACGAGTCATGGAAGTAGAAAAATGAAGAGAAAATCTAATATTGTGACAGCGATTTGATGACTGTCTAATTTCAGCGGGCAGTCAAGCCAAGAAAACAGCCTGTCTGACTGACTGCCTCTGATTAGAGTTTGTTGGGAGTGCAAAGAAAAATGTCTTGAGGTGAGAGGGTTTTTAAAGCTTTTTTGGACAGTATAATAATTACATAGCTGTGTGGTAGATGGGTCAGGGATCTGGATATTGATATCTGGTAACATTTCCACCCTGTCTGGATGATATTTCAGGGAAGCATAAACCTCAGAAAAGGCCTCTTCCCACACAGATGTCAATACTTCCTGAAAGCCTCTCTGTGTAGATCCATGCTGTGCCTCAGCAGCCACTGGACAACATGTATGAAATATAACCCTCAACGGAGCTCATTTACACCCTGTAAACCATGTTAGCTCACATAGATCCACAGCATAACACATACACATAAACTCCATCTACTCCATCTACCTCAATGTCACACGCAAGACAGATATACCCTCACTGATGCATCCGCAGGCAAGACAGAACAGAAACAATACATTACATATAACTGTACATTTATCCTAAATACAGCATATCTAACCTCAAAGCCTGTCAGTAATATCTAAGGACATCTGAGAAATGTCAAAGCAATATTTCCACAATGCAACAAGGCACTGTAATGTCTTCTTAACGTCTCAGTTAGCCTGAGTAATACTCTAGCAAGGTCACATGGATGTTAGCCATTAGTGCTAGGCACTAGCTGACTGACTGACTGACTGAGGTGGCATTAATCCTGGGAGAATCATTTCCTGCAGATTAAATGGAGCTTGAAGGCTTTAAGTTGCTGCCGCCGCCTGAGACTCAAGAGATGCCAACTGAGAGTCTGCGTGCCAGCGGTGCAACGGGCACAGGGCTGCTGCAGAAACCAGGCAGAGAGAGAGAGATGTGCCACAGGAGCCTGGGGTGGTACACACACACACACACACACACACACAAAGACAAAAATACACACAACAAGAACACACCACAGTGGATGGAGAAACCAAACTGACACAGCGACACTGTCACTTACAGCACTGACCTTAAAGCTCCAGTAGTTGGGTTGTTGCTGGGGAGAGACAAAAAGAAAGAAAGAGAGAAAAGAAGAGAGAGAGAGAGAGCGAGAGAGAGAGAGGGGGGGGGGGGGGGGGGTGTTGTTAGACATTTACTCTCAAGTATCTGACAGCTAACAATAAAAGTAACTCTTTGAGAAATTGCATGATGGGTGAGGGAGAGAGAGACAGAGAGAGAGATGGAGAAAGAGATGGAGAGAAGAGGAGAGGTAGAGAGAGTGGCTGAAATACGTAACCCAAAAGCCCTTGACAGTGACACACCAGCATCAAATGCCCTTGGAAGTGTGACCATCCCCAGCCCAAAATATGCTGCACACACCCTACTATGCTGCCCCCCCCCCCCCCCCCCCCCCCCCCCCACACACACACACACACATACACAAAGCACAGACACAGACACACACACACACACACACACATAGCACAGGCACACACACACACACTCATACACACACACTATCCCAAGCATCATGTCATTATCCTCCATCAGAGCCAACACAGGACATATT